ATAGTCTCCAACAGATAAAGATTCAGCATGTGAAGCCCCAACAAATGCGGGTTCAACAGGTGGAGCCTCAGCAAGTTAAACCTCAACAGGTAAATCTCCCAGAGACGGACTCGCAGCAATTGAAGTCGCCACAGCCGAAGCCCCAGCAGGGGGAGAGTCAGCCAGTGAAACCTCAGCAGGCAAAGACTCAGAAGTTGGACTATTACGAGATCGATTTTCAACAGTTTAAGCAGGAAGACATTCAGCAGGCCAAGTCTCAGCACTTGCATCGACACAAGATGAACGGTCAGCAGGAGGTGAATCAGCAAGGGAAGCCCCAGCCAGAGGACCAGCCGCGGTTGAACCCTCACCACTCGAGCAACTGCAAGATTAATCTTCATCAGCTGAAGAAGCACCAGAAGAACCAGCAGGTCAAGACTCAACGGCGAGAGCAGCAACAGGTAAAAAAACAGCAGCTTAACAGTAATGAGGTGAAGATTAAACATGTGAAGCATAAGCGGACGGAAGACCAAGAAACACCCGGGCAGGGGGAACAACAGCAGGTCAGGCCTCAGCAGAAGCAGCATCAGCGGCTGAAGCCTCAGCAGAAACAGCCTCAGCTCGAGGAACATCAGGAGGCGAAGCCTCAGGAGGCGAAGCCTCAGCAGGAGAAGCCTCAGCAGGTGAACCGTAGTGAGATGAAGATGAAGCATTTGAAGTATCATCAGCTGAAGCTCCAGCAGATAAAGAATCAAATTCCTAAGATCATTCGTAAACCCAAGATCCCCAGTCCCTTCTCTCAGACCTGTGTGATCCACCAGCTCCATCAGTTACGTCAAAGAAAGCTGCTCTGCAGCTGTAGTGGTGGAAGACAGGGACTCTGCCTAAATCAGTGAGGCGCTATCTCCCAAAATGTTGGCAGGTGGCTCCCTTTCTCACCCACGTTTCGAGGTCCAGCTTTACTTTATGCATAGTGCTAATGCTAATGCTAATAACTACAGCTGCAACTATCGATGAGAACATGTAGAAATACACAGTGCGTACCTAAGATAAGAGAGATCAGAACTTGACGCCAGTATTTAGACAGGTTGGAAAAAAGGAAACGTTTCTGAGCTACTGCCCCCTACAGGAGCAGAACATGTACATATATAAAGACACTAAATATATATATATATACTGTACAGATACACGCGTTTTTTACATATAATTTATTGAAAAAGTTTTACATTTGTGTTAAAAAAGTCCTAGCACGTTTCAATGACATTAGTGATTAATAATTACTAATAATTGATTAAACAAGAATATTATGATGATGTCTGGGTAGAGGTCCCTTCACATCTTATTTCAGAACACACAAAATACACCAGGTTTTTTAAGGACCACTGTGTAGAATGACCTGAAGTCTAGAGGTGAAGTTGTATATTACAACAAATTAAACTTTTCTGTTGTTTTGGAAAGTTTTGGAAAAGCCACACTGTCGAAAGAAATGTTAGTGCTACTGACTTGCTGCAAGACCACTGATTGATTAAGTGTTGAATATATATATATATATATTTATATATATATATATATTTGAAAAATAAACATCAGAAACTTTGGTTTCACATTAGCCTATAACCTAGCTTGTGTCTGATTGCTCCATTTAGCCATTACTGAACACACAAACTTCGCCCATCCTTTTGAGGTATGTCTTACCAAAAGTACAAGATAAAACATACGAAATAAAGACAATTATTATAATTGGCAAAACCACAGACAATAAATGTTACGTTATCACGTGGAAGTTGGGTAACATCACCGATAGCGCCACCTAGCTTTGTCCAGTGACTTGTTTAAATCCTTCATTTGGTTTTAACTGGCACCAGAAGCGGCAGAACAGTTATTGATTTTTCCCAAACTGGATGCTAGATTTGCCTAGCATAGCAACACGCTAGTGAAGTTTTAATATAAATAAAAGATAAAAACATACCATTACTGAAAGGTTTTGACAAATATATTTAATCGTATAAGAACTGTTAATTGTTTCGCTGTAGAGAAGTTAAATGAGCTACTAGGACATAGCTGACTGCAGTTACGGCGGACAGCAGTAGGGGTCAGTGCCTCCCTCTACACCTAGAATACTGTATATTCTTACATCTTACACAAAAGGTGCTCTGGATGTTTTTTTGCTCTTTGGTCAAACGTCCCGTTGAACGTTCTAATGTGCTGAACAGGAAAAAAAAACATTCCTGTGATGACAAAAACGTTCAGGTTAAAGAGCGTTTGTTCTCAGCACAAACGGCGTGCCGTCAGCAGATGAGGAAGAGTAGCGTCCTTCATCATCGTCATCTTTGACTTCCTCACTCTTCCTCCTCTTCTCTCCGGGTTCCTCCACCAGCAGCTTCAGACGGTTCAGGTGATGAAGAGCCCTGAAGTGAAAAACGTGCGGTCGTGTTTATTTTTACCGTCAGTACAACAAACAAACGCTTTAAAAATAAAATCCTAACCTCTGGTCCTGATGGACACACTGGTTTAGTTGGTGGTTCTTACCTCTGTAATGACAGTCCACCACTCAAACTGTCCAGGTCTGCTTCTCCATCAGTCCACTGAAACACAGGCCCAGTGTCATAAACCTGAAACATTTGTCATGTGTTTGAAACATCTGTGGTGGTGCCTTCAGGGTCTTCTTTTTTTTTTTAAACTCTCAAACCTGATTCACTGGCGTCTCCTCTGTCTCCAACCTCTCAGGCTTCCTTGGAGAATTTGGTGATTCGCCTTCTTGATGCTGAAGCTTGGCCTCCACAGCCTGCAGTCTGAACAGCATCTGTTTCAGAGCCTCTACTGGACCAGGAAGACAACTGTCTGGGGTCTGGAAGACACAAGACAGGAGACGGATGAAGGAAACTGAAGTCAGAATAAAGACAATCCAGCAGCAGGACTTTCAACTCACCTCAGCTCCTGTGTTCTGAGTTGTTCTGCTGCCCCCTGCTGCTGAGTCCCTGAAGTCCAACAAAAAAAAAAACCAAAACAAAGCATGAATTGAAATAAAAACCCTGTATATATCCACGTAAATATTTTAAGGACAGACATGACAATTGAAGAAAGGATTCACAGAATTACATTTTACTGTAGAATGAAAAGCTTCCAGAAGTTTCCAGAAATATTAGATGAACTTGGTAAAGTTAATCCCAGGACTTTGCAACATCAACGTATGATTCATTAAAAAAAAACAAACACTAACAGTAATGTTCAAAGATTTATTTGAACTGTATCATTTCAAACTAGTGTTAGTCAAGTGTAAATAAAGTCTTCAAACATGTTAGATGACTGTGGAATGGATGGGGTTTGTTGAATGAATGAACTTAAATGAACATATCGTTTATTATTAACATGTTTCGTTGTATTTAACTCTGTCTTTGTTATTGGAGTCCTGTATGATTAAACAGTTCTGCACTAATATGTCACACATTGATGTTTTTTCACATATGTACATTTTTATTTTTACAGTGACTACAGAAAGAAAAGGTCAAATGATTCAAGCTGATCTGTTCATTATCAATGTAGTTGCACATCGTTTTTATTCTCATTAATTGATTGGTTTGTTATTGGAGTCCTGTATGAATAAACAGTTCTGCACTAATATGTCACACTCTTTTTTTAAAGATAAAAATAAGGATACAAAATCACATGCAGATATTTGTAAGAGTCTGCAAAAAATTTCTGAGAGGAAAAAAAAAAAACTCTTTGAATTATTATTATTATTCACAAAACAGAATTTAGTCATTTTTAAAAACTTACAGCACGGATGAGGGACGATGTGAGGAAGAAGTGAGCAGCTCCTCCGCGTTCACTGACGTCCCTTCAGAACAGAACAGAAGCAGGATTTTAGTTCCAAAATAAAGACTGAACTGTGGTTTAACTAAACTAATCCACTGCACCTGCTTCACGGCTCTGACACAGAGAGTTCAGGACCTGGTCTGCTTTGAGGATCAGGGACTCAATCCTTTTGTCTGGCAGAAGGAAATGTTTTGTTTGTTTGTTTCTTCCCAACCAAATGTCAATCAGATTAACTGAAAACTTGAAGACAGTTTTCTTCACCTCTGAATGATGTTTCCATGACGTCTGAGCTTTTTCTTTCTGCAGCCAGACGAGAGATGTGGTCGTCAAACTGATGCCTCAGATCTCGGAGTGACAGCTGACTGTCCACCTGGAACAGGATTTCACTTTCCTTTGACAAACAAAAAATAAATTCCAGAAATCTCCCAAAACATCAAAGGTAAACTGCTGACAGTGCTGGCATGAAATATTGGTGTGTGTAGTAAAAACAAACACTATTAAAGTTATTTGTTGGTGAGTTTTTGTTTTGTTAAGGTTAGAGCTGCGTCATTATGTTGTATATTTCCCATTTTGTAAACATTAACAGTCGTGATTGTTCAGATCAGACCTGGACAAACTATGGGCCGTAAGCCAGATACGGCTCACTGGGCTTTCTAATCCGGGCACCAAACCGTTTTATGTATTACAACACGTCTCAAACTCAAGGCCCGGGGGCCAAACGCAGCCCACCAACTTATTTTGTGTGGCCTGCAGAGGTTAATAAGCTAACTTATACAGTTCTGCACTGAGATGTGATTCAGAGGTTAATAAGCTAAGTTATACAGTTCTGCACTGAGATGTGATTGTTGTCTGATTCTTTTAAATTACTTGAACATTTTGATTTGAATGCAAGTTTCTTTACCTGATGAATTAACAGTTTTTTTATGACATAGTGTGCAACAGTTGTACCTTGAATACATATTAATCAATTGCAGATTTTTTAATAATTAATATGTTATGGAGTTGTTGCATCCATATAGTAACGACCGGCACTTCAAGGGCAACCATATTGCTGATGTGGCCCCCCCCCAATGAAAATAAGTTTGACACTGCATTAGAAGAATGATGCCGCTAGATGGCAGCAAACAACAAATGCACCAAATAATCATTGAGTTTAGATTTATACTTGTCCATTTTATTTAATTTGGTCAAATTTTGAACCTCATTTTGGTCCGTGAGACAAAAAGTTTCTTTCTTGGTTAGCAACCTTGAGGTTCTATGTTTTAATAAAAATAAATATATATATACTGTATATATATGTATAATGTCGACAGAAGCATCCTCATCAATTTAAAAATAGAAATAGTTCAATTTCCCACAACTGAGTGTTTTTTTTTTTTTTTGCTTTTCTCACCTGTGAACGCTTCATGTCGACATCATCCTCCTCAAGCTCTTCCACCCAGGATGGAGCGCCACCTCTTGGTGCAGGTTGTGAACACACTTAAGTGAGAAGGAAACAAAAGAATATACATTGAGTTACAAAAACTGAATCCAAATTGAATGTTCAATGTCAATGCTTCACAGTCAGTGTTTTACTGGGGCCTTGATCCCAGAGCTTTGATTCTAAGGGCTGCAGAGGTTCGCTGCCGACACAGTCATCAACCCAGGTCGGGCACTTTAGATCAGATGTTCGGTTCATCCGGGGGAAGATGGAAAAAGATGGCTCCACCCACTCTGACGCTGCTGACCTCTGATTGGACTAGAGCAAAGGTACAGTCATTGAAAATATTTAGATCCATTCATTTTGATACTTGACCATCAGCTGCCTTCATTATGAAATAATGTCTGACCTTATGAGCCCTTGTGGGAAAATCTTTATATGCTCCTGACTGACCTCTGCTCCTGGAGAGAAGAAGAGGGAAAAGGGATATAGAACTCTATAGAACCAACAAGACAAAGCTGTCAGGGCAGTCATCTCCATCATCAACCTGGAGCACCTGGGCGTCTGTGCTAGTTGATGGTGCAGTCCAGCACAGGATCTACATCCTTTGCAGGAGTGGGGGCATTGGAGTGTAGGGGCTCCAGACCGAGACAGGAGACCTGCATCCAAAGACAAATGAGACAAATACTGTTATCATTGGTTATTAAGCAACTCACATATCAAGTCATAATGAATTTACTCTACATGAAGGTTAAAGAATTTAATACTTAAAAATCTCTTAGAGAAGAAAACCAGGTAAAGGTGAAAATGTCAGTGAGAAGTTAAAAGTGTAATATCACTGTGCAATAGTTGGAACACTGCTGCAATTTAGACTTATTTTCATGGTACAGAATTTCATGTATAGACTTCATGCACTATTATTTATTTTTTCCTGTTTACATTTGTCAATTCCAGACTGTTTATATGTATATTTACCTATTAGTTTATATTTCACACTATTTTGTTTTGCATGTTATATATAATATATATATACACATATATACATATTTATACACACACACACACACACACATATATATATATATATATATACATAGCCATACCTCAAAGTAGTCACTCATGGCCTACAAGCTGTGTACTTTGTACTGTGTACTCCAGTTGCCAAGCAACGACATTTCGTTGCCAGACTCACTGTTTTTTGTGTTTTTGTGCAATGACAATAAAAAAAGTCCAAGTCTAAGTCCAAGTAAGCAGCAGCGGTGATGCCTTTAGGGACCTTGGATAAAGGCATAAATGTTAAACAATGCAGTAAAAAAAAAAACAACCTTGGATGAAGGCAGAGGTGCGGGTGACGGGCAGAGAACCATCGTGTGGTATCGACAGGAGGTCGTCTGTTGTCATTGAGAGTCGGTCTTCTGTAGCACAGCGGAGGACAGAACTGACGGGCAGGTTCAAATAGTCCAGTTCCCGCTCTGTCAGACTCTCCCGGAGAACTACAGTATGGGCAAACACACAGCGAAATGTTAACAGGACAAACGTTAACCGGTACCTATCAGTGGAGTCACCCCCATGTTGACCTACCATCTCTGTTTCTGGGTTTTCTCAATGAGGGTGGAGGGCTCTGTGGCAGAACGAGTCTTCCTGTTTGTGATTTGCATCTCTGACAACTGTTATCGAAGTCTGCAATGTACGCGTCCAGAGCATCTGAGGCAGAGCCGTAGTCCTGCAGTAGTTAAGAAACGGCGTTATATTCATTTATTTTGCTACGTACTTTCTCTAGAATAGTGTGAAGAAGTAGAAACGCAAAACGAACCTTGTTTTTAAATCTGAATGTAGTGGTGCATTCAGGGGGCAACAGGCTGCTTTTCAGACGGCCGGAGCTCGACAGCAGGGAGGTGACTGTGGACTCTGGAGACAGGGATTCCTCGAACTGGCTGTCGGAGTCCATTCTGCTCGAACATAAGTTGGAGTACGTTACCATTAAGCATACAACTCTCCATCCATTTTCAAGATTTTAACATAGCTTTATGACGACAGGTTGCTAAGCTAAACAATAAAAACCTTACGTAAAGTTTCTTTAACTGAATAAAGAACACAGAGTAGACGACAGCACATCGAGGTAACAGCTAAAACGTGTTGTTAGTAAAATTAGTATATACAATTAGTAATTATATATTCAGTGAACATGCTAACGTCACAGATTAATTTAGTTTCCTTACGTTTTTTAAAACGCAACACTGTTGCTAACGTAATAACTAAAGCGGTTACTAACAGGAAGTCAAATCACGTCAGTAGAAATATTTTAACTTACCTTTCAATCATTTCGACATTTTCCAAAATGTTGTTAGATGTCAATATTTTTTTAAAACTCCCGGGCTGTGAACTCAGCAGGTCTGGAATCAGCTTTCAAAGTTAGCATGGTTCTGCTCCACTTTAATGTAATGACACCCTCAAACCAACAGAGGGCATTCTGTCGTCTATGTCTCCAACTGTCACGTGACCATGTGAGTACGTCACGTGACAGTCAGGAGGCAAACACAACAGGAAGAATCAAAGCATTTCGTCCCTCTTTTTTTTTAAGTTTAAACGCGGTTTAGAAATGTCAGCGGGGTTAAAACATAAATGTCGGATAAGAACAATGTTAATTTAAATTTTTTATGAAGTTGCAGTTGTTTATGTGTACATGTTGATGTTTTTGTCCCATTGGAACTCCGCGTGAAATTAAGTCGACCGAACAGTACACGGATCAGGTATGTTAATTTTAAAACATATTTAGCTCTTATTAACTCTCTGATTCAGATGCTTAAAAACATTGATTGTGTTTTTAAATAACTCACGACAGCCTTTTATTAAAACGTTGCTTCCTCCCAGCGCCATAACTTAGTCGGCTGAGGGCGTGCGCTTATGTAGATTTTATGTAATATTTTGAATGGAGTTTTATTTGCAAACATTTAATATTCAAGATGATGTAGTTTCTATATCGATATATTTTATGCCTCGCAATCCATTGGTTCTTCATTGCACCCCTGTCTGAATAGTCAGTCAGTGTTTAACGGTGTTATTTTATGTTAGTGAAAAAAGAGGTTATGAAACGCGTTTCGTGGCTCTTACACTTGGTTAGCTCTGACAGCTGTGTCCTGAAGAGTGTGCATTTGAAATTGTGCCATTATGTTTAACAACTGCTCTAGACGTGTAGCCAGATCATCAGTCACAAGAGAAGATGCGTGATCACTAACCATGTGCTAAATGTATTTTTCAGGGTTTGAAGTCAACATGGCGTTCGCAGTAGAGAGGACAGATGAACATGTGAGGGAATATCTGACTTACCGTGGCTTCACCAACACACTGAAACACTTGGACATCGAGATTAAAGCGGACAAGGAGAAAGGTTTCAGGGTAAAGTGTCTTTGTTGGACTTATTAGTTTTAAGTTTGTATCTTTCCGAAGGAAACTAGAAAGACCTTTTTTTTCTTTTTTCTTTTTTTAACAGGTGGACAAGGTCATCGATCAGTTGCTGCAGTTTATCCACAGCTTTGACTTACTCGGGCTGAAGGAGTACTGGATTTATCTGGACAGACGTCTCTTCTCCAGACTGGAGGACATTTACAAATCCACAGTGAACAAGCTGAGGACTAGTCTGTACAGATACTACGTCATCAACACCGTTCAGGTAAAAACATCAACCAAAGTTACACAGAATTCAAGTTAAAATTAAAAATCTCTGTGTTCCAAACCAGTCATTTATCCGATGATTCCTCCAGAAAGGAAACCTGGAAAAGACACAGGAGTTCTTCCAAAAGCAAGCGTTGGAGCTCCAGGGTCAGCCGGAGTGGAGGGATTGGTTCATTCTCCCATTCATCCCCTCCCCGGAGCAGAACCCCACCTTTTCGGCGTACTTCTCTCGGCAGTGGGCTGACATCTTCCTCGTTTCTCTGCACAACTTCCTGTCCGTTCTGTTTCAGTGTATGCATATCCTTTAACTGAACACACAGCTCCTCATCTGTCCATGTTGTCTTTCTGCAAAACGTTGATTTTCTGCGTCCAGTCCTTAACTGTGTTCCACCTCAGCCTGTCCTGTTGAGTTTTGATGCAGAGGTCCAAAAGATGATGAGTCTGGTGGAGGAGAACGAACAGCTGCGGCAGATTGTGCGAGAAAATACACATCAAATTTCTGAAATGTTGTCCTTATCTGTGGTGCGATGGGAAGAATTTTGCATCTTACCGGTCTGTTTCTTTCTTTTCTTCATGTGTCCTCCAGCTTTTTGCTCTCCAGACAGAAAGTCGGGAACAGAGAGAGGGAGAAGAAATTGTCCACCACAAACTGCCGGCATACGTCCAGAACATGGATCGTCTGGGAGACACTGAGCTGTGAGACACTAACATCACTGTCTTTACTGATGACTAAGGTGGCCAATGTCGGTGGTATTCAAGATCAAAAGGAGGTTATGACCAGCCATGCCTTTAACAGGGCGGCAGATTTTGTCTTTCCTCTCTTTATTCAAGACGTATCTTACGTTTTTAGTCGTAAGATCATCCAGTGTAAACGATGGGCTCACGGAGGCGGTCGTCTTTGTTGTCTTTGAAAATTAGAAAGATTCAATTTTTGGTTTTCCATAACGTGTGTTTGAGTTTCCGTTTCACAAAGACATTGAAAGCATCAGTCTGAGAGACGGAAGCTGGATCGGCAGCAGGGAGATCCAACAGGAAGCTGAATTTGGCTCTATTTTAATTAACCACTCTCTGTCTCACAAAAGTCCAAACAGACACATTTAGTTGTGGAAAATTAAAGCCTTGAAATCTTTCAGCTGGTTTTATTCAAAGACACCAAGGAAACACCAGTGGTAGACCAACATTTCCCATGTGTCATGATTGGATTTTCATATTGGACTTTGTTTCGAGGGAGTGTTCTAAAAAAAAAAAACTGACTCTGATCGGGTCGTACTGAGATTTGAAAAAAGAAAAAGTGAGTCAAGCATTGGTTTCCCGTTGACTCTGATCGGGTCGTACTGAGATTTAAAACACCTAAGGCTATTGTTGTTAAAGGAATAAAACTAAAAAGTGTAAATGTGACACTTCATTTGAGAATAGAGATTTGTGTCTAAATGTTGCTCAGAGTTATGTAGTAAATAATCGGAGAATCCTCTTGTGTGGTAACTTAAATAACTGAACAGTTAAAATGGCACGGAGTGATGTTCTCGACCTCTCACTGCAGGGTACTTGATGATGATGATAGTGTTGAGGAGAGAGGGAAAAATTTGGGTAAATTATTGTCTGCAAAGTTTTAACAGGCTTAACGTACTTTTTAAAAGACTTTCAGAAAAATAATAATCCAGGCACTTTAATGGAAAAAAAAACAGCTGCTGTTTGTTTTAAAGGCTTTACGTAAGTTATTGTTTATGTTACAATATTTATGCTGTTTGACACTGTGTGTTGTGATGCAATTGTTGTTGCTAAATAAACAATTCACCTGATGAATTGTTGTTTCTTGTCAGCACGGTCCGTTTTCTAATTACGGGTGTTTCACACTGACAGAAAACTGAATTATGGGCTACAGACGAAACATTTCAGTTAATATCAGTTCCATAGTGTAGCGGTTAGCACGCCTGCCTCGGAAGCAGAGAGTCCTGGGTTTGATTTCCCAGAAGAACCACATGCTTGGTGCTTGCTAGGGGCAGCCTGTTAACATGATACCTGCTGGTAACAACAATTTCCCCAAATATGGGATCAATGTAGTACAAATGTATTTATTTTATATGTCTCCCAAATATATTAATACAATTAGTCATTTTATTATTAGCAAGAAGGTAAAGCAATCAAAGTATTTGGGACTAAAATATACTGTCATATATAAAGGTTGGCATCATCAGTATAGAACTTGACTTCCAGTTCCTGTTTTTTGGACATCTAATGGTAACACACACATAATGCAATTTAAAACCTAGTTTCAAATATTATAAAAATAGATTTTTCACAACATAAATTTAATTTGATTGTCATTTTTGCACATTTCTATACCTATCACTATACATTTTTTAAAATGTTACCACTGGTTCTTTAATACACTCAGGGACGGAAACACAATGTTCTATCATCACATCTCTGACTAAACCCTAATTTAAAACAGTAACAAATCTGAAAGTAAAATTTGTAATATTCCTCAAAGATGGCAACATCAACAGTCGTGAGGCAACAGGAGACTTTTTTTTTTTTTTACACTTTTAAATGAGACAATCAGAAGACCATCACTGAGGTCAATCAGAGGTCGGCATAGCAAAGAGCAGTAAATATAAAACTATTTTTTTTTACTTTTCCAGGGACTTGGTGTCAAGTCAGCGAGTCGTCACCACTGCCACCACGCCTTCCAGAAACTTCTTTGCGACATTGCTACCACAGGGCCGACGCACACCTGGAAAATCACAGCAGGTCTCCTCCGGGTCATCGCCAAATCAGGCAGCAGCGAGCAGGAAAGAGCCGACTGGTCAGGTAAGAGCAGAGCACAGAGCATACTCCAACCAGTGGAATGATAGAGACTGTCAGGTGTAATGCCAACAGTGCAAACTGGGCCATGTTGCCTGCATATTTTCTTTTGTCCACTAGATGGCGCCCCAGGCAACCAAGGTTGTGCGATGAGGGAACAGTTGACCATAGATACTGTATAACCAGGGATGTCTGATAGTATCAGCAAAACATGTCAGCATGCTTACGAATCGTTATTGGTTTCTTCTCCGATAATGAAAGCCAGATAACGCAATGTGACATAAAAATAGTTGCAGTGAAAGTGAAACGGCTACATATATCGGAATCGGAAATGTTCGCACAATATCGGCCAAAAGATAATAATGGACCTCCCTAGATATTTCTTTTTGACAATTTCAAAAGTGCCAGTATGACCTTGACTGTGGGTTCTTCGCCAGATTCCTCTTGTGTTTAAAAAAAATGTCTTTTCGTAGCCCGCAAAGTCAAAAGAAGCGATGCAAACGAGGGAGGTGAAGCCTGTCGTCAGTCAGACTTCAGTTATTGAGCCAGTGAGCTCCCAGTCGGCAGCAACAGTCAGCAACCAGGTGACACATCCACGACACAAGAAAATCAAGGATTACGAGAAAGAGAGGAAGGAGCTCTTCTCCAAACCATCACCTCAGGTATTTGACCACAAACTCCGTCAAAGAGGCAAAACAAACAACGGGGGAGACTCAGGACCACATTAGTAGCGTTCGACCGATTTCTTTTTTTTTTTTTTACAAATATTTAAGGAACCTAAAATCAGGACATTCAACTATTTTTGGAAAAACGTCCCCATTTGTACAGCCCTTCGTGTGACTAAAATGAAACTCCTCTATTCCTGTGTAACGTTTAGACGCCAGAGAAGAAGGGCGACGCCGGGGAGGTGGAGCCTCCTGCTGACGCCTGCAGCGACGTTACCGACTCCTCTTTGACCAGCAAGAACGGTGGAGGAGCAGCAGAGGGCGAAAGCCTGTCTGTGGAACAGCCTTTCATCAAACTGAGTCAGGAGGAGTACGGGGAGCACCATTCCTCCATCATGCACTGCAGGTCTGTGGTCGACCGTGACACACCGCCGTCACTCATAGTCTCACCTTCCACAGAGTCACCTTCTCTCCTCTTCCTCCTGTGTCCAGAGTCGACTGCTCGGGGCGCAGGATTGCCAGTTTGGATGTAGATGGAGTCATCAAGGTGAACTTTCACACCACAACTTCTTTTTATTTTGTCCACTTTAAACAAACCAGAGGTCATTTACTCAGACAGAGGCTGGAGTAAAAGCTCTTTGCCGGCAACTGACCGGTGGTGTGGTTCCTTGACCCAGGCAATAGCCAAGGGCTAAAAAAAACAGACACCAAAAGAACAGAACTATCTGTTGTGACTACACAGAACAGACAGCTCTCAAGACCCTGTGTTCGTCTGTAATTTAATTCAATTTTGGATGCTTGAGTAAAGGGGGCGGTAGCGACACCAAACTTGAATTTCACCCAGGACACCAAAATGGCTCTATGGTCGACTCTGCCTCTGATTGTTCCGGTGTGAAGGTCTTCTTAGTGTTTGTTGTGATTTGAAAAGAAAAAAATCACATGTCACCACGCACCAAAAGTCATAGTTTTCCTCCTCCTCCTCCTCCTCTTCTTTGCACCAAAGTCATAGTCCTCCTCCTCTTCCTCCTCTTCTTCCTCAGGTGTGGAGCTTCAACCCCATCATACAGACCAAAGCCACCATCATGTCTAAATCCCCGCTGCTGTCCCTGGAGTGGGCCACCAAACCTGACAGGCTGGTATGCAACTCAATCTAACACAGTACTTCTCAAATAGTGGGGCGGGGCCCCCTGGTGGACTGTGGTGAGGTGGGGACGTGAGGGTCTTCCAGTGGAATATGGCACACTGGACATAAGTGTACCACTACTGTAATGCTGTAATGATAACAAGCCTCCAGACACTAGGTGGCAGCAACTCATACAGTGGTTTGTGCAGATAAGAATATACGTTATCAGGTTCTCCATAGTGTTTCATTTCGTGGGTTGTAGGTACGGGAGGGTGTGTACAAATTTCTGTCCCCAAGGAGGGGGTGGGGGGCATGACAGAAAATAACTGAGAACCACTGATTTAACAGGACACAGACTTCAGAGTAACCTCGTTGAAATGCTTATGAAAATTCCCGCCACAAATTCCGTTAGCGTCAAAACTCCTTCCTGTTTCATTTTACACCCATCCTACACTGAATTCTGAAGGCCTGACTAACATCAGCAAAGAGCTCACGTTGGTTGTCCTCATGTGTCTGTTTAGCTGTTACTGGGCAGCGGCGTTGGAACGGTGCGGCTGTACGACACGGACGCCAAGAAGAATCTTTATGAGATGAACATCGACGAAACACATCCACGGTAGGAAGTGACATCACAGCTCACCTGACAAAGCCATGACCCCAGTCTCACCACAATATATATTAACCAGGTCAACTTCGTGAGAATTAGTGACATCTAATGGTGAGAAGGTCAACTTTATGAGAATTAGTGACATCTAATGGTGAGACTCACATAATGCAGTGACTGTAGGGCTCCAGGTATTTTCATCTTTTACGTAGGGTTATCTTAAAAAACAAAAAAAACATTAATGTAGAGAATGAGCTGCTTTCTCTACATTTGCTCAAAGAAATCTAAACCAAGGCTAACAACTTTGCACAGTACTACATATCACAGTATTGGCTTATAAGATTCTCCTCTCTCCCTCAGTATATTGTCTTTGGCGTGCAGTCCCAGCGGCTCGTCGTTCGTTTGTTCGGCAGCGGCTGTCACTCGACCCGGATATGTTGAGGCCGCTCCTCGACTGCCGCTGCCAGTGTTTGGAAAACTGCTTCTCTGGGACACCAAGACAGTCAAACAGCAGGTTGGAAATCAACTTGACAACAGCAGACGGCTCACGTTCTCCCTGCTTTTCCTTTTTAACACCATTTCCTCTGTGTCACAGCTCCAGTTTTCTTTAGAGCCTGATCCGGTCGCCGTCAACTGCACAGCCTTCAATCACAACGGAAACCTGCTGGTGACCGGAGCTGCTGACGGGGTCATCCGGCTGTTTGGTCGGTATAATGAATAAAGAAATACTATAGTAGCTATGGTATTTCTTTAGCTACTAAAGAAATACTATAGCTATAGTAGCTACTTTTTGCTGATAAATTTTGATTTGCTGATGTTCATAATTTTATCATAATCCCTGTCTCATCTGGCTGTGATGCAGATATGCAGCGCTACGATAGTGCCATGAGCTGGAGAGCCCATGATGGAGAGGTTTACAGTGTAGAGTTCAGTTACGATGAAAACACTGTGTTCAGCATCGGAGAAGATGGAAAGGTAAAATTATGATTTTTTTTAATTTTTTTTTTTTGAAAAGTCAATAATGACAGTAAAGTAGAGTTCCATATATAATGTCAGTCAAAGTTAATTCATCTGTGTGTTTACAGTTCATACAGTGGAACATCCACAAGTGTGGGGTGAAGCAGTCAGAGCAGGTTTTACCTAACGACGCCACCGGACCCTTTGTTCTGTCAGGATATAGTGGATACAAACAAGTAAGTTACTATGGCAACCGTTTCATCTTAACGTGATTATGGAACTTTACGTTTCATGGCAAATTCCCTGTTTGAAGCTTATTTTCCCACAGACTCGCTGTCAGACATGTTTTAGTAACGAGTGATGTCGCCCTCTGGTGGTCAAATGTAACTTTTACCCAGAGATCAAAGTTTTTTAATCTAAAACATTTTTCTGTTGGTTGTCCCAAAGTATTAGCATAAAAATCAATCATTAATATTTTTTAATAAATGGATTAAATAAAGAATTTGTAGATGAATGAATGCTTTAATCTGACACGTTTTTTTGCTCAGGTTCAGGTTCCTCGAGGTCGACTTTTTGCTTTTGACTCTGAAGGGCAACACGTCCTGACCTGCTCCAACTCTGGAGGAATCATTTACAGAGTGAGTTACCTTCATCTCTGATACCATCGTCCTCAGTTCTCTTTGTATTTACAGTGAGTACGGAAAGTATTCAGACCACCTTAAATGTTTCACTCTGTTATATTGCAGCCTTTTGCTAAAATCATTCAAGTTGATTTTTTTTTCCCTCATTAATGTACACACAGCACTCGATAGTGACAGAAAAACACATTTTTGCAGATGTATTAAAAAAGAAAAACCAAAATATCACATGGTCATAAGTCTTCCGACCCTTTGCTCAGTATTTAGTAGAAGCACATTTTGAGCTAATACAGCCATGAGTTTTTTTGGGAATAATGCAACGAGTGTTTCACACCTGGATTTGGGGATCCTCTCCAGTTCCATCAGGTTGGATGGTGAATGTTGGTTGTTAGCTGTGTGCTTAGGGTCATTGTCTTGTTGGAAGGTGAACCATTCATCTTTCCTTCAATTGCAACCAGTCGACCTGTCCCTGCAGCTGAAAAACACCCCCACAGCATGATGCTTAGAATTAAGGCCAAAAAGTTCAATCTTCGTCTCATCAGACCAGATAATCTAATTTTCTCACCATCTTGGAGTCCTTCAGGTGTTTTTTAGCAAACTATGCGGGCTTTCATGTGTCTTACACCGAGGAGAGGCTTCCGTCTGGCCACTCTGTCATAAAGCCCCGACTGGTGGAGGGCTGCAGTGATGGTTGACTTTGTGGAACTTTCTCCCATCTCCCCACTGCACCTTTGGAGCTCAGCCACAGTGATCTTTGGGTTCTTCTCTCACCAAGGCTCCTCTCCCTTGATTGCTCAGTTTGTTTTGTTTTGTGTTTTGTAACCTTGGTCAGATCTGTGCCTTGCCACCATTCTGTCTCTGAGCTCCTTGGGCAGTTCCTTCGACCTCATGATTCTCATTGTCTCTGACATGCACTGTGAGCTGTAAGGTCTTATATAGACAGGTGTGTGCCTTTCCTAATCAAGTCCAATCAGTTTAATCAAACCCAGCTGGACTCCAATGAAGGAGTAGAACCATCTCAAGGAGGATCAGAAGACATGGACAGCACCTGAGTTAAATATGAGTGTCACAGCAAAGGGTCTGAATACTTAAGACCATGTGATATTTCAGTTTTTCTTTTTTAATATATCTGCAAAAATGACATTTCTGTGTTTTTCTGTCAATAGGGGGTGCTGTGTACATTAATGAGGGAAAAAAAAAATCAACTTGAATGATTTTAGCTAACGGCTGCAATATAACAGAGTGAAAGATTTAAGGGGGTCTGAATACTTCACTTATTTTATCCACATTCATTGCTATAATTTTTTTATCCTGTACATCGATTTTATATTATAGATAAATTTAGCTTTCATCATAGTGGTAGTAGTATATTGCTTTTTTTTAACATATTTATTGATATTTTCTTATATACAAATACCCTAGTATAAAGACACAATTCAAACAGATGTGTAGACGTATCCTTTTAGTATGTACGTCATCTTTTAAAATATTTTTATATATTGCTTTTTTTGACCTCTTCCCAAAATGGTTTTATTTTACTGCATTGCCACATACAGTTAAAATACCTTCGACTTTGTACATTTTGACTCTATAGTTTGCCGCCATTACTCAGTATATTGCTTTTTAATTTCCCTTCTTATTAACATTTTTAAATGAGTCCCTTAATTTTTTATTAAGGGACATATTAACATTTTTAAATTAGTCCCTTAATTTTTTATTAAGGGACATTATTTAAAATGTTAAATTAGTAATTTTTTATCAAATACTTTATCACTAAGGTTTCTCCTTCATTTGGTTAATCTGTAACTTAAATTAAATGTCATTTTTTATTGAATACTTTATCACTAAAGTTTCTCCTTCATTTGGTTAATCTGTAAAACACGACTGTTTTTACCTGTGCATACTATATTTGTTTTACTTTTTATTCCCCTAATTCCAGCTGACCAATGGGGAGCCAGCTCTGGAGAGCGTGCTGTCGCTGGGTGGACACAAAGCCCCGGTGGTGACCGTGGATTGGTGCTCTGCTGTGGACTGTGGCACCTGTCTGACGGCCTCCATGGACGGAAAGATCAAACTGAGCACACTGCTGGCTCAGAAGTGTTGACCGGTCTTGAGGTCAAAGGTTACTGAGGAGAATCTGATTTTACCTGTGGACATTTTATCATGTGAACAATAAAAAAAACGTCGAGTTCTGTCAGAGCATTTCAAAGCAGTCGATGTTGACACTCCATTTATTCTCAGTCTTCTGCACAACACAAGTCTGATGATATAATCCCTTTACAGCTATACATTTTTAACAACCGTAGTTTTGTTACTGTACATTTGCCAGCATGGGGTTGAGATCATGTGACCTCTGTTACATCGGACATAACCAAGTGTGAGACTGTACAATTAAAAAACAAAATTAAGTCTGTACATTATTGTCTAACAACAATCATACAAACGACCATCGTACAAGTTTTGTTGTAAGGCTGTAAGGGTGCACTGCTCCGCCTCTTTAGGCCACGCCCAACAACAGGAAGAGGAAGACGTCAGTGATGTTCTAGCTGCAGCCAACCGTATGGCTGCATTTCAACGATTTGACTTTTTTTGTTGTTGTGACAACTGATAAAGAAAACAAAGATTAGACAATCAAAAAAAAAAAAAAAATAGGAGCCAAACTTTGTGACGTTGTGAGGTCAAACTGAATCTCATTAAAAAGCCCTTTGACTTTTAAGGCTTCACAGTGAAAGTTTCAACAGGTAAACTACTTACTAAATACGAGTAAAGTGTTCATTCACACCTAGCTTAGCACGTACTATTTCACCTGTCGATATCGTGAGCACTTTTAACCCAATTATATATGAATGGAAAGTCATTATTTTTCCTTCACTTCCTGTCCAAACGCCGCACCTCCAGACAATTCAATTGCCTTTATTTCTCCAGTCAGTGACAAACTGGGTGGTGATCACATGATCAACGAAAACGGTTCAAATATCTATAAGGTTTTAGTCCCAAATTACAATCTGAAATACATAATTAAATATGTACTTTATAGGGAATGTGCTAAATGTTGTTGTTTTTTTTGTCCAATTCTTCAACAGAGTTTAGTTATCACCATGTTCAGATCAGGTAATAGACTCGACTCGTCACAGAAAAGGGTGCAGCTTGGATTGGTGAAGACGCTCAGGATTACGGGGTTTTCCGAACCGCTCCACTGGGTAGCGTGAAATTTCAGACACTCAAGAATGAATGATAAAATATTGAAATTAAAATCAAGCACACGAGTAAGAGGCAGAGGACAGAGGTTTCCCACGGTACATGTAACAACACACAGGCGGATCAGTCAAAGCCTGGACATCTGACTTTTTCTTTCTTAGTAAAGTGGTTTTAATGTGAGGTAACTAGATGACCACTGAATTAGGAACCGATACTTCATTCAAATCACAACCGTGGCTGCTCACCAGTCAGCTAGCTATGAGTATTTTCTACTTCAGTTCAGCGTCTCACTGTCGTCAGGCAGACTTACAGTAAGATTTGTTCCGTTACGACACGAACAGTTTGATAAAACATCCGACGACGAGCCTCAGTCTTCTCAGTTTAACACCGCGGCGGACAGACTTTCTATTCTATTAGTGTAAAAGCTCTGCTCACTTTCTGTTCAGCTGATTGTTTTACATATGCAGCAAGTTTACTTTATCTTTATTTTTTTTATATTATTGCATCTTTTAATGCCTTGATATACAGTCCTATGTGAAAACATCAGGTAATATGTCAATAAAATAACTATTTCCTTTATTTATTTTGAAATAATCTTCTGTGGTTGAGTAGAAAATAAAACTAGCTGCGGTAGGAATGCACTGGTGCATTGCATATTTTTTTGAAACCCAATCTTGAGAAGTATCATAATGGTTCTCAGTATTAGCAAGTACACAAGTGGAAGTACTCATGTGTACAGCCCTGCTGTAATTGCCCAGCCTGGGATCAATAAAGTACATCTATCTGTCTATCCATCTAGATCAGTCAAATATTAATGATTAGAATGTGGTGACATCAAGGTGGCAGAACAGCACCCCCTGTTGACTACACACAGGTAATGAGGGGACCATGACTCAGCAAGTAAGAAAGTGACTATCCTTATCATTCAAGTTACCTTGGCCACCACTGTTTTCACCAGCAGGAGGCACAGGTCTGCGCTAACTTCCTCTTCCTGTCACTGGAGGCCGGCTGCCAGTATAAAGGAAGTCCGGTGCCCCGTCCATATGCATGCACACACACACACACACACACACACACGCAGACACACAACCACCTTGGAAACATACTCTAAGGTAAAATGTCTGAAATAAAACCATGATGATGAGGAGGAGGAGGATGATGATGATGATGATGATGCACTAGACAGGGACGAACAGAACCCAGGAGCAGGAGTCTAGTCCTCGGGTTCCGGTACCTCACGGAGGTAAATCTGCTCTCAGTTGCTGATGCCGTTTTTTGGACTTTCTGTGGCCACGGGGATACGAGGCATCTTCTTGACAGGACTGGGGATGTGCTGGAGAACAAGGACGCAATTTTGATCTCAGACCGACTTAGTGCGACACAGAGGATATTTCTGCTATTAAAAAACGGCAGAACTCCGGCCCTACCTCCACCGTCTTTGTCGTGCTGGAGTTCATGTGGTTGAGTTCGGACTCCGTTGGCAGGTCTTCGTCCAGGGGTTGGCGAGCATATTCCCTGCGATGTTTGTCGTCCACGCGCATCAAGTACCACGTCCCAGGGAAGAGATCGTCCACTGAGCCACGTGGGATGTAGCTTGCTGCAAAGACAGGTGTAAAAATTTTTAAAAATTAATTATGACTGTCAAATGATGATTCAAATCAACATGACTAAATATAACCTCAATTAAATTGTTTTTCTGTATTTTGCTGGGCCAAAAAAAGACAAATCTCATCTGTTAAAACAAGGCTAAAACAAAGGCAACTATAAGACGAACTTATATCGTTAAAAACGTAGCGATGACATCAGCAGCAGCTGCAGAGGTCGCCTCTGTAACTGACTGATGAACGCTCGTACCCAAGTGATGCGTCTCTTCTCTCAGCTTCATGTTCTCCGAGAAAACATCGGGGGAAACCTTCCTCCTCGAGTTCAGTCGAAGTTCCAGGTCGCTGATACTGGACACCAGTTTGTCCAGACTTGATCCTGTTACAAAGAAGCAAAAAAAAAAAAAACACAACAAATCAGAAAATTAAAATTGTCAGCATTTGCCTTTTTTTAAAATTTTTTTTATCACATCACCGTAGCAGAGAGACTCACCAGGGGTGTGGTCCTGAGTCACTCTCAGAGAATACAGAGTTGCGGCGAAACCTGAGCCGTAGGAGAAAACTCCTATTCTCTGTCCTGCCAGCTGTGGCGCTGTTCGTCTGTAACACAGATTGATACATTTTTTGTATTGAATGCAGCAGAATTCTTCGAAGGTTTTCTTCTAACTTCTGTATTAGAGTCGGTAGTTGAAACTTACTGTGCGAGGACGGACGCCAGGCAGCCATAGACGGAGGGCGTGTACATGTTTCCATTCTGGTTGGAGATGAGCAGTGAGGGCTTGGTCTTCCTCTCAAACAGATCTGCGCTGGCCTTCATGAAGGCCTTCTCCACGTCCCGGTCAAAGTAGGTGTCTTCTGGACGGACATCTCTGCCGTACAAACACACAAGCAGCCAATCAGCCAACCGGTCCATGAAGATGTTTGAAGTTTGAACTGTGGAACCATAGATCATTCATACCTGAACGCTTCCAGACCCGTGAATGGTCCGGTCTCCGTGTCGGGTCGTGGGTGGCTCAGGAAGTCGTTCAGCATCAGTCTGGCCAAAGACTTCTGCACCAGTTTGCAGTACGGTGAGTGGAAGACCAGGAAACCAAAGTCCTCCAGGCTGAAGCGGTTCTCAGAGCCCTCTGTCAGGGACCAGAGTCACCACAGGTTAACACACAGAGTCACAGGCAGCAGAGATTCCACTGTTAATTCAAGATAACACAGGCTTTTAGCACGGCCAGCACGGTCACGTACTTTATGACTTAAACAAGGCATTTTATCAGGTCGAGAAAAGTTCACCTCAGTCTGGGACGATTTTGGTGTTGAAATCAAATCTTATAATAGCTGATGAACAAAAAAATTAAATCTAGGCTGCAGCTGTCCATTACTGGTGTTTGTCATCTTTAACGTTTGTTAAACCGATGCCGTTTCGTATGACAATTAGCTTGTTTTGCTTCTCCTCCTTTGCAGAAACTCCCATCCTGGGGGAAGGAGGAGGGAGTGGGGCAAACGTGATGTTTTTAACAACTGAGTCAACAAAATATCTGTCTAGCATTGATGTTGACAGAGTGGCTACAAACTGAATTTTAGTTTCCATTCGTATGCACGGAGATGAGATACCTCAACATGTCTAAATTGAGTGTTTTCTTTTGGTTTTTTTCTACTTTGCAAATTAAACAAGTTCTGACTTCTAATCTGAATGGATGACGTAGAGAACACAGTCACAGTGACACGATCTGCAGAGAGTGTCCTCCTAATGCTGAAGCCAAAAGTTGTGATCAGGTCAACTAAGAACGGAGGTCAACGGCAGGTCTGAACACTCGGAGCGCGTCGACACTCCTGTAACCGCAAACATCTCGACAAAACAGGAACACGGCACAGAGTGAGTACTAATGGGAAGTTCTAGCTGAGAAGCTCCGGCTGAAAAAACATGTTTGTTCACAGGATCATCATTTAATGATGGCGATGCTGTGCAGCGGAAGACCTCAGATGAAAGGCTAATCTCGTTAGCAGTTTGATGTTCCCTGAACAGAAATAAACGTCTTAGCAAAGATAACAGCGGACAACTTAAACCCTCTAAACTCATTACGCTCTTACGTTCCCTGAGCCTCGCTGCACCAGGGGTTTAGCCACCTGCACTTTCGTATGTCCCCTTCAAAGTTTGTCAACAACTATATTTAGGAGAGTGTTTCTGTGGTTCCTCACAAGGCCAAAATCTGCATTGTTATTGCTAAAAGTAAGTAAGAAAACAACTATATCTATTTACTTTATTCTACCCCGGGGTTTTTATTTGTTTATGTATGTGTCGGTGACACTGTGCAAGTCTCTGACTTCTTCATGTTAGGCAGTAAATGACGATAAGAACCTTGAATTATTGCATTAGGTTAAGGATTGAGTTGACGCACTTCTTTAAAATGTTAAATAGGAGAAAAATGAAAACCAGGATCAGATTCTGACCCACCTCTCTGCCACTGCGCATGAATCTTGTTGCGGTAGACGGAGTAGCAGCGGTCCAGTGCACTCAGGTAACACTCTATCGACAGCTTCCCGTCCACCACAGGATACTCGGACATCAGATCAGGCTTGTAGAAGTCGTACGCATGCTGCATGTGTGTTCCTCTAAGACCTGCAACACACACACTAAGTAGTGAGCAACACACACTGATGCCACACCGGTCGTGAAAGACTTTTTTTTTTTAATCTAATTTAATTCTAAAACTCTTGTCTTGCCAACATTATTATATCACTGACCTCTTTCAAACGCCAGAGGAGCATTTGGACCAACCAGCATGGCCACTGCACCGGCGCCACCCGTGGGCCGTGCACTTCCTGTGGCGTAGACTGCGATGTCACCTGCCACCACCAACGCATAGCGACCTGCAGTGGGGGAAAAACAAGAATCGTTCAAGAATACAGAGCGTCAAAGGCTCCAGAGCTCTGAGGTTTACACCACTGCACATTAACAAGAAAATATAGAACAGAACACTGTTAGATAAAAAAAAGAATTCAGATATTATCTGATTCGTCATCTTTATACTATGACTGAGTTGTCATGTCTGAGCTGTGTTTTGGATTTTTTTTGTCCATGTAACGTCACATCTGATCTTTGCCCAGTGACATTTGACCCTATTTTCTGACAGGCATTATCCAATCACCACACGGGTAAACACTGTTAGAGACAGGATAGGATGGTAAACTAGGTGTCATACGACAAATGTTTCTTTGCCTCACCTATTATTTTGGACATGAATCTGCCTTGAGTATTTACTTGTAATCTTATTTCTTACTTAAACCCAAAACTGATGGAGTTTCTCGCTCTCTCTCTCTCATGAACTCTTCCTGCTATTTCTGCTTTCAATCGTTTTGCAGATTTTACTTTGTTTCCCATCTTTTAGCCCTGCCAATTGTAAAAACAGGTCACCAGCAGCCTAGGCCCCATTGCATAAATGTGAAAATAAATCTATATTAATGAGTTACTAAAGTTACAATTCAATAGCCCTGTTTTAACCAATCAATTAATGTTAGCCTATATGCTCATATATGGAATTTTTTTTTTAAATGACACATCAATTCTAGAAAAGTCACTCTGTCCACCTACCGTCCCAGGAGCTGGACTCCACCCAGTTGACAGCATTGAAGAGCGCTGCTGTGCCTCCATAACAGGCATTTGTAGTGTCTATGCCCTCCACGTCTGTGTTGCCCGAGTCCTCAAACAGTTGCATTATAACCGTCTTGACAGACTTCGACTTGTCAATGATGGTCTCGGTGCCGACCTCCAGTCGTCCAACGCTGTCGTAGGACAGGTTGTTTCTCTCCATTAGCCTCTGGACCACAGTCAGGCAAAGGGAATTGATGTCTTCGCGGTCTGAGCAGAAACCCATTTGGGCTTGGCCCAGGCCTATGGTGTATTTACCAGCTGGTACGCCATCATACTGCTCCAGCTCTGCTTGGTCCACATATTGGGATGGGAAGTACAGTTCCATTGCAATGATACCCACATCTTTGGGCCATGGTCCTAAACAGCTAGTTGGGGCTGGTCCAGGCATCGTGACAGGACTGAGGAGGAACAAGACAGGGTGTTACTGTACAGTATTTATCTCTCAGGTGCTGCAGCTGTAACTAAAATGAGAACACAACCACATGCTACACAGGCTAACCCGTTTCCTAAAAGATAGCTCTCGTAAATCTAACCATCTATATAAACACAACACATGTACGTAACAATTTTCATCCTCTGTACCTTTTACAGAAAAAAATACTTAATACAATTCGAATGAAGATTAATGAAGGTTAAGGGTGTCTCACTTAAAAAATAATTACAAGAATAACTATAAAACACTCCATTATTCAACAAGCCTTAAGCTCAACTGGACTGATGCGAGATTTACTGACCAGTGACAGTTTGATATCTTTGCTAGTTTGATGTCTATTCTGTATGCGTTTATACCTAGAATTCAATTCGTCAGTAAACGCCACTCGGATGGATAATTAATTATACGTGTTAGCTTAAAGGCTCGTCAGTAAACGCCACTCGAATGGATAATTAATTATACGTGTTAGCTTATTTACAGAGGGATAAGCCCGGTGTTAAGCAGAAGACGCGTTAGCTAGGTGAAAGGCACCCTAGGTTTTATGACCACCTCATATGACAGCTGAATGTCAGTGACAACGCTGGTTTATTTTGTACAAACCCGATCATCCAAACAGTCTATTTTGGATACAGAACACAAGATAAGGACACGAGACATAAAATCTAGGTGAAAGGGCAACGGGTTTCCGCGGAATTTCGGTCATCTGAAATCTTTCACACCGTTCTGGCAGAAAACGCTGTGAATCGACGGTCCTCTAAATCAATAATTTATCGTCATGACCTATGAATCAAATACGGAATTTAACAAATTATTTAATTGTCTTGACACCATAAAAAGATTGGTTTAGTCGGGTTTTTTTTACCGGACAATAATAGATGACGGACCAGCTTCCGTTGTAGGTCATAGCGCTAAGCTAAACCTCAGCTACAATTCGTCACCGAGATGATGCGGTGTTACATTATAAATGTCAGTGTAGTCCTGAAGTAACCAGGCAGTTCCAACATTTTTTAGCGTTAATTCGCGTAACTCTTTTATTAACATTTCAAAATAAATCGATATAAACAATCCCAAAAACGACAACAGAAACAGAAAGTATAAATACTAAGTCATTTCAAACCAAAGCAATAGAAAACAGCTCACCTGTGTGAAGTTACGATTATAGGTGATGAACCGAGGCTGTCAAGAGTCCCGCCCGGTAGAGCGTAACATTTATATATGACACTGACAAGAGCAGCGGACAGTCGGCGAGACTGTTACCTGACTTCCTGGCCAATCATGACGCGAGCGCAACATGCGACGCTACCAGGTCCTGCGGTCCACTGACCAATCAAGAGCGCAGGAATTGCAACACGCGCCGCAACCGCACAAACCCACCAATCAAGACAGCTGTACGATGTCTGGTGAGGAAGGCGTAGCCAATCAAAAGGAGGAATTAATTCCTGGCGTGTCGATGGGACGGAGCAGCGTGGCTACGGCAACTCGCGTCCATTCATCCAGCAAGACGTGGAAACTGTCAAGAAAAAGTTTTACTGTTTTACTTTTAACTGTAAAAAGACTAAACGGAAAAAAGAAAGAAAGAAAGAAAGAAAATGACTTATATTAAATGGAAACAAGCTAGACGTTTATTGTAGTAACAGAAGTAGTAATCAATAGTTATTACTTTAACAGAAAACTGTTTTTATTAAGTAAAAAACCAAGTAATATTTTGCTGTTTTAACATAATTACCAGATTGATTGAACTTTACTTTTTACTTTTAGAAAAACACATGAACAATCGGATTTAACCTTGTAAATACCGTTTAGATAGTGTTGTAGTTTTTAGTCATGTTTTCCTATTCTAAACCCATCTTTATTTTAACTGCAGAAGAAACATATTTACTATTGTAACAGTATATTAGATTATGCAAACAGTATTGTTATAGCAGTACATTAGAAATAAATGTTTAAACTGTACTACTCAAAGTGAACCTGTGATAACAAACCACTTTTACTATACAGTAGTAGAACATTCTAGAGAAAACAAAATTCAGAAGATGGTAACATTCAAGTCTTATCAAAGCAATATGTGAAAAATGTAGCAACATTAAAGATGAAGTTTTTGGTGTAGTAATCCTACTGTAGAAAAAAGAACAGTTTGTCCTATGGTAATTCCTACAGCCCTTTAAAAGGATTTTACTGCTTTAGCTGTTAAATTAACTCTCCTTCTCTCAGTGTTAATACGTTGTTAAAGCCTGTTACTATAGCGTTTAAACATGTTCTCACCTGTTGATCAAAACACTGGCTGTAAAGACTTCAAAACTATTTTCCCAAGTCTTGAATATTTTCCCTAGGGCTGTTTGCTAATCTATCAGCGTGACTGTATGTAAACTGAAACTGGGACTGAGACAAAGGGTCTTCACGTGACAGTGATGGAGGATGTGTCAGTATTTTAGGATGCATTTTATTCATGTTTATTGATGTCGTCATACTGACATAAACACAGAAGTCTGTCAACAAGGTCAGGGTTTATTTCCCTTTTTTTTAATTTCTAGTGGAAATTAAGAACCTTCAACATTCAGAAAAAGGAGTGACAACTTTAACTAGTAGCTAAACATAAGGAATAGTTCTGTTTAGCAACAGCCAACAGTATTCTAGTTTCATTGCAGAACAGTGGAAAAACATTAGAACAACTTTTGATCAAACGTCCACGGCCATTTACCCCAAATTAGACTGAACAAAAACACTATTGCCCCACAGGGTATAAAGTTGATAGTTAACTTTTATCTTTAGTCTATATTTTCAATAAAATCTGGCCTATAGAGGCTGTGTTTTACTCAAATGTTAAATAAATGTAACGTTTCCCCCCCCCCAGGACAACACCATATGTCCATATCTGTATCACAGTCAATACCAACCAACGAACTAGAAGATAACAGAGGTAAAACATTTTATAGTGGTTGACAGAGTGGCAGACTGACAGGCTGGTCAAACATCTCTCTCTGGTGGCTGAGAGTCAGTGTTTCTCACAGGATCCAGGAGCTGATCCTTGTGGGTTCCTGCAGGTCAGCTTCTAGTCCCTGTTTTGTCTGAAATATATCATCAGAGCAAATTTACAACTTACTAGGCAGCATTTGTGTGGCCAGAAGTACAAAAAAAAAGTTCAATTATTTTAAGTAAAACAAAAAGCAAAACGTGTCAGATAACTTTTGAGTAAAAGATGTTCAAATTTGATTATTTTAAGTAAAACAAAAAGGCAAAACGTGTCAGATAACTTTTGAGTAAACAGTGATATTTCACATAGTTCAAATGTTTCATATATACATAAAAGTAATTATTATAAATTATTATTAATAATAAAAGACCAATGGCTGATTAAAAAAGATAGTTACTCACGTAGTAACTGAATTAGTACTAGTTACTGACAAGTACCCACTGTTTCTAAGAAATGGGAGAGCTGATTCTTCTTGTTTTTCTTGTAAATAATTTGTGTTTTTTAACACAACCCACTTAAAAACATAATTATTCATTACCGGTACACCTGTTTAAGACACTTTGCATTCATCGGAAAGGTGTTGTTGTTCACGTGTATATATCAGTTATTTGTTCAGTCTTAAAGGTAGAATAAAAATACCTCCTGTGGACTGCTATTGGGGGAACTTCTGGGGGTCAGAGTGCAGGACATCCACAGGTCAGCAGAGAGTTGACCTCTACACAGTGAAGCAACATCTCTGCTGTAGGCTTTCGCCTGAAACAAACCTGAGGCTTCCCTGGAAGACATGAGTGGAAATGCAGCTGTAAGATAATAAGTGTGCAATCGTCACCTGCCCAGCCTTTTAACATTGACCTAGATTCTACTGATGAATGTATAATATTTTCATAAATATTTTTCTGATGGTAATTTTGCACAATAGTCTGTTCATATTGTTGTTATACTGGGGACAATCCTTTCAGAACACTTCAAACCTGTCCGGGTCAGAGCCAGCTGCAGTCTGAGGGCTGCTGCTCTCTGAGTTTTTCACAGAGGTCTGAGGGAAATCTCCTACAGCCATTGGCCATGGCCGTTGGCCAATCCCAGAAGGCTGCTGCAGACCAGCTCTCTGCTCCTCTTCAGTTAACACCTGTGGACAACACAGGGAAATCAATTGATTTAATCAGCAGTGCTCAACATTCTGTCATGGAATACTCTCCCCCACCAAAGTCCATAGAGGAAGATTTAATTTTATGTGTTTTTTTTGTTAAAGTATTTAGAGATTTCTCAGTTGAGTCAACACTAGAATAAACTATATTTTACATGAGAAAAAAATCACAGTCAAAATCACAGTCAAATAAAAATGTCACAAAATAGTATATGCAAAGAAATACAATGTTCTTCTGTTTTGTGAGTTTCAGTTTACTCACAATTGACTTATTCAGTTTTGAGCATAATGCTGATATATTTCTAGGAATTACAGAAAAAGCAAATAAACAAAGATGATTTTTTAAAATAGTTTTAAAAGTGATCTGCTGCCACCAAGTGAAGGATTTTTTAACTGTTCAGTCTGTCACTGTAGGCACATTATTTGCAGAAAATTGTTCATTTTGAATTTGATTGTTCACATTACACCTGGTGATCTCTCATGGCACCGCAGCAGTTATTGGGAATGACTAGTAAAGATAAAAACCGGCAGGTTAAATTCAGAAATATTTGTTCTGAATGAACTCAGGTGTACAAGAACGACCAATGTCAAAAGTTCTATTTTCCATTTTCTGTAATGATTGCCTAATGGTGAGAAACATTTCTCATATCTTATCAGTGAGGCTTTTAATTAGTGACTAGAATCACTTTTTCCAGGTTTCCCTGCTGGCATCTCCTAAAAGCAAGTTGATCAGGTTTTCAGAACAATGGGTTCACACCAAACAGTCAACCCTGCTTATGTGTCAGAATCACTCAGTTTTTAAACTCTTTTACAGGACTTTTCCTGGTCATTTTCAGCTGCTGCCATATGACAGACATGTTATTGCGTCATAGGATACTAAGTCCTTTATTGGTCCCACAGTGTGGAAACTCACAGCGTTAACAGCAGCAGAGTGCAGGACAGGTTATCAAGGAGTATAGCAAGTATAGCATGTTGCTGCTATAGTAACAGAGATATTTCAAGTAAAAAGGATAATAGATAATAAAAACTCTGAATAATACTGTTCTACTGTTATATGCATTTAATGCATTAAAATGACAGTCGCTATATATTAGCAGTTCTACTGTGGTACGCTTACCACCAGTGGTACGCGAGCGCTCTCTAGTGGTATGCGGGGAAAATTCATATTTTCATATTTACATTTTCAATTGAATACAACTGAAACGTACCATGCACAATTAATATAACATTTAGAAAAATGTGTAGCTACTTGTGAGTTTATGAAATAGGATGTCAGGTCTTTTGATTTATTTACTTACTTACTTATTTTTTTTGCTGCAATGCTAGTCTGTTGCTCACGTGAGCACAGGCAGCACGGAATCATGGGATCACTTGCAAGTTGAACGTGGAACGACCAGGGGAATTGTAATGTTGGTCATCATGGTGGTACTCAGAGAGCTCAATGTTCTCTCAGGTGGTACAGAGTAGAAAAAGTTGGAGAACCACTGCTATATATAAAAGGAGATTACTACATACCGACACCAGGATCTGCAGTATAACTTCTTCTCTTTGAGTATATGACCTTGAGGGAAAGCGTATCCTTTTGATAAATAAACTCTGCCACATCTGCTTCAGTTTGTTCAAGAGTCCTGCAGCCTGAGCAAAATATATATATATATAAAAAATAAATGACATTGGGCAGTAATGTGATTGATTTATAAAAAAAAAGGCAATTGTTCTGTTACTTCTGTGTTAGCCTGGAAGGAGAAACTCTTGTCTACTTTGATTTCAGCCATGTCCTCTGTGTCACTGTCACTGTCCTCCAGCTGACTGTCTGGACAAGACAGACCTGAAAACAAGCCTCCTTTAACATGGTCCTTAACTTAACATTCATCTTCACTTTAATAATGTCTGAAAATCAAAAAAGATTTGATTGTTTACCAACTGGTCTGGGTATAGAATATTCCTGTAGAGGAGAACCAGGCAACATGGCACGACCTCCAAATATGGCCACGGTAAAGGAAGTCACCAAAGAGCAGCAGCGGACGGTGGACCTCCTCTCTCCTCGACAAATCTCATCATATATGAACCAGCTGGTGGGCAAGATCTCAGCAGACTTTGCAGGCTTGATCTGTACAGAAGAAAATTGACATAGATCACAGTATGGTTACAAACCCGTGCATGTATTGAGGTGAATGTTTCACAAAATTAGAAATTTGTTATGCACGCTGGTTTTGATTACAAAAATCAAACAATGTTGCTTTGAGTCAGGTACAATTTCATAGGCACAATACAGCAATGGCTCTCCATACATACCGCTCTGGAAGAAATTAAGAGACCACTTCAATTTTTTTTCTGAAATCAGCATCTCTACATGTTTAACAGCCATTCCATTCTAGTGTTTGTTGAATTTCAACACAAGCACACCTCATTCTACTTATTGAGGTATTGATTTATGTGGACACCTGAACCAAATCTTGCTTAACAAGCAAAGGTATAAAAACCACTGCTCTGGTCATCACTACCCTATTGCTTTAGGTCAAGCTGAATGGCAAAAACAGCGTTAGTAGTACCTCAAAAGTAATTGGTAAAAAAAATAACTACTGACCATGCAAAAAGAGTTGAAAAGAAAAGTTTTGAGTGAGGAAAGAAGGGTTAATTTTTGGCTTTACTGGGAGAGGAATACATTAAGCGTAAGGTTGCTTCCATCCTTAAAATTTCCAATACGGCGGTTCACAAGAACGAGGTCATCTTCTCTGGTGAGACGCACGAAAGCTGTCATTAAAGTCAGGGTTATTCCACTAATTTAAACCTCATTAAACATGTGAACATATGATCTCTTAACAAGTTATATATTTCTCTAAATGCTCAACCTCATTGGAGTAGCCAAATGTTTTCTTACCTCTTTGAACAGGTTGAGGACTGATGTGGGATGAAAGTAGATTTTTCTGTCTGTGTGGCTCAAAGGTTGCAAGGTCTTTTGGTCCACATAGAACATGTTTGGATACATGCCACACACAAGAGCTGCCTTCACGACGGCCCAGTTCTCCGAGTTCTGATTTAATTCATGGATATTGCTGCTTCCTCGAGGTCGCACAAACCCTGGGAGAAATGAGACAATTCAAAACGTGTTGATATTTTTGAACCAAAAATTCACCGCTTTACTGACCAATGGCACGCAGTTGTCCCAGCAACTGAACTCTCAGGTCAAATATCATCTCCATGGTGGCCTGAGACAGGAAGTTCCTCTCACAAAACGATCTCTCACATCCATCACGGCGAGCCCTCTGCCAGGCCTGACAACAAGAACAAATCACACATGGAGGGAAAAAAATGATTAAGATCAAAAGTGATTTTCCTGTCTTAAAATATTATTATGACTAAGCCCCCTATAAGTTGACACACCTGCAAAATATTTGTTATTTAGTTTGGATCAAACTAAATCAAAGTCAAAGTCATTTGCCCAGGTAAGATGCCAACAGTCGATGGAAGTACTGCCTCTCTAACATTCTTACCTGTGTGTTTGGATTTCAATTTATGATTAGTACCATTATTAACCTTAACTTGTTTGACCCTCACCCCTAATTTTTACATACCATCCTTGCATGTGTTAATTTTTTCAGTTAATAACATTAATAACATGTCCTTGACTCATTTCCTTCCTGTTTTCACTCCGACATGATTCCTCCTCCTGCTCCTACCTGAAATGCTCTCAGCAGGGCCATGTGATCACTAAAGCTGCTGGAAGAGAAATGTTTGCGACAGAGCAGGGCCTTTCTTCTCTGAGTTCCCTCGGTCGGAAGGATGAAGGGGTCTCGGTAGGCTAGTATACATGCAATGGTTAGCACTGGGTCCAGACATTTGAGCACCACAGCGCACAGCACCATCTTCCCCAGGTGGGGTTTGATGGATACATCAGCCAGGTAACAGCCTAAGAAAGTCAGCTCTTCATCCTGGTCCATAGCATCTATCACCTGAAGACATACGTTTTTATGTCTCAGTTTTCAAATTACATCTCATAATCCAACAACATATATTAATATACAGTGTTTTGTAAAAAGACAGCAATGTGTTCATTTTGCTAACCATTAGCCTTTGCACAGCTTTACTGATGGCATCTGCTGGAGGAGGCTCGGGAGCCTTGGACAGAAAGTCAGCCACTGAACAGGACGAGGGAACCAGCAATTTGGCCTGAAGACACAGTCCCTGGAAAAATCAACACAGCAACACAGTTGATTGGTGCAAATATTAACCTTAAGTTTCCAGGTGTGTATTTAGAAGTGTGTGTAAATTAAAACTGTTTGTTGTTTGGGGAACTAATTATGCTACTCTTATGCACATGAATGTTGTTTGGTGTCTGAGTGAAATGTTAGTAACATTTTTTGGCTGAACATTTTGCTGAAAACAATACGACAATTAGTGAAATTCTATTTACAAATCAGCAGTCAAACCAAATTCGTTATACTAAATGATAAAAACTAGTTAGATGTTATTAGTGACCAATCAGAGAGTCACGTGGGTACGGCGAACGGAATGGTGGCTGCCTAGGGAGTCTCTGCTCCCGGACCTGTAAAATTATAAATTATTACAAGCAGAGGTTCCTTTTTGCTTAAAATCTCCACCGTTTTGAGGGACAAAGTGTTGCCGTTGTTTATTTTTTTTAAGTGAAAAAACATTTTGTGTCGTCAAAACATGTTAAAAGCACAGGACACATGTTGACTAAAAAGCCCCCAGCGTGAGGAGGAAAGCTCAGCGAGTGAACCATCTCCCTGTCTTGACAGTGTGACCGATGTCTCAACTCCATCATCAAAGAGATGATGATGGAGTTGAAAATGACGGTGAAGGCTATGTCTCAAATCATCCAGTTATTGAAAGTAAAAATCGCACTGCTGCCAGTGAGGTCAGTGCCAATGATAATGTAACCATAAGAACAGTACAACAACTTGTGTGTGACATTATTATCATTATTCCAAGGTAAGTGAATACTTTTGGTCATAAAGTATATATATATATATATATATATATATATATATACTGTATATTTTCACATTTAATCTAAAAAGAGTGATGTGTCTTTACCTGCAGTGGTATCTGCAGCAGTCGAGATGCCTTAAATTCTTCCATGTTGCTGAAGGTGGAGAGACTAAAGAGATGGAAGCAGATTCCTGGTCTACAGCGCCCGGCTCTGACAGTATGTCACACACACAGAATATATTTCAGATTCGTTTTATTCAAATTTTATTGAGTGAAAAATAATGAGAAGAAAAAGCTTTGCCTTGGTTATTACCTTCCCTTCCTTTGCAGGGCACTGGCTTTTGAAATCCAACCCTTCTTGAAAACTGAAAGATGACTCACACTGTCAAAAGATATCTAACAACAAAAAAAGGTTCTCTGATTACTGACCAGACGGTTTTTAGTCGTGTGCTGTTATTGTAACTTGTTATGGTGACCCTACCTCTTTGACTTTTCCTGTGTCAATAACAAACACCACATCACTAATGGTGATGCTGCTCTCAGCAATGTTAGTAGAAAGAATCTAAAAGCAGGGAAACACAAGTTAAATCTGCTTTTTTTAGCTCATTTGAGGAATGCACAGACTTACAATTCTTCTGACTCCAGGCGTTGAAGCACCCATGACCGTCTTCTGATCCACAGTCTGTGTGTCTGAATATAAAGCGAACACCTGGAATCTGACACACAGCAAACCCTAATTTGTAAAACAATATTTCATGTCACAATAAATAGAATAGAATGCAACACTTTAACCGAGTTACTATAATTTATACTATATTTGTATTTATTTACCTCTCACTGTGGGCAGCAAATCTTTGGTCATCATATAGAATCCGATATCTTAGGGCCAGTATCTCAGAGTATTCGGCTACAAATATTAGCACTGCTCCTGAAGACACGCAAACTGAACTTCAGATCCTAATAATCCAGATATTTCTCTGACTAACATCATTAATGTGTCTGAAAGACATGGGTGTGTGTAAATTCTTTGCTAGTCTGCAACTCACCCTCGCAGGTGTTGGAGCAAATGTAGTGGAGAAGATTCATGATGAGGTCCAACTCCTGGTCTTCACTAAAAACCTCTGACTCTCCAGACTCCCCTTCAAAAACATTCACCTCGCTCAAAGGACTAGATATTACAAGGAGGCGCAGTGATAAATGGGTCAATTTTCATCCTTCAGGTAAAGGTAAAGTTTGATTTGTCTACAGCTGCTTCTAGGTACCATGGTAATGCACCTTTTTCTATGTTTAACAATAAAGCTAAAAAAACATTTCCTGTACTTACTTTATATTATTTAAGTTGGCTCATAACAACTTATGACATGAATTACACCATTTAAAAATACCTATAGCCTTGAATCCAGAGAATAAGAACCTGTCTCAATATTATACTCACAATGAGGCTTGGAGAAGATCCACTGCATCTGGATGTTGGCAGCTTCTGGCAAAATCCAAAGCCGTCCTGAAATTAAATGGAGTTTAAGAGTAAATGGGATGCCCCGAATATTCAGCCATAAAAGTGTTGTCAAAAATGACTCATTATGACCCATATTATGTAGTAGCCCTACAGGGAACATTTTAAAATGCCATTGACCCAAATGCAATTAGTGTTTTTATGAGAGAACATATTTAATTTTACAATCTTTCTGCAGCCCAGTTGGTCCTTTTAATTTTATTTTGTATTGTGCATTAATGGCCTGTCCTAAATACATATTTTTCAGATTTATTATTTGAAACATAAATATTAATTCATGTAATTGCAATGCCTTTTTAGTGAGGTTACTACACAATCATGGCCATAAAAGCAATGGTGTTAATAATAGACAAAATAATTGACTTCAATGTTTTGCTTTTTAGCTTCGGTTTTTCATTTCACTCGAATTTTCATTTTAATGCATCGTAATCCATACTAATCATTTTATCAGCAAGGCACACAGTAACAATAAAATGCTTTGAAGATACATGATGTGTAGTTTTATAAATACTGGCTAGCTTTATACAATGTATTATTTGATCATATTTTAATTCAGATAGTTTAGTGTTAACAGCAGCACATCTTTTACCTCTGGAACTCCTCTGCATTGAATGTAAATGATCTCATACAATTGTATGACTGCCTACCCTTTTTTTTGCACTGATGTGGGACGGTAAGTTTGTTGTCCTGTGGTAAAACTATAACTGTGCAATGACTGAATAGTTATCTCATCTTTAAAAAAAATCACTTGCTTAATTATTTAACACAATTTTAACTTTGGTACAACACAAAAACACAACAAAATAGGCATATACACATGTTCGAATAGGAGGACTGTAGTCGTGGGATTTTTAAATTTTTCTCACCATCCATTAGTTGCCTTGATGTTGACATCAGCACCCATATTGAGCAGCTGCTCTATCTGACTGAGGAGCCCCCGACTGGCTGCTACCATCAGAGGTGTGGCTCCCATGTCACTGTGTTTGTAGTCCACTACATACAGAAACAAACTGTTAGGATTCAAATACTAAAGCATTTGGGACCTGCCTATAATTTAGACTTCAATGTACACACATCTCTGCAATTTGAATTGTTTTCTGAATTAATGTATAACTGCATTTGCAGTACAAAAAGTAAAAACAGCTTACGCTGACGTTCATACCGTTAGCATTTTTATTACAGATGAGGTCAAACAGATGATTAAAAGAATCCAGGTCTTCACTGAAGAAACAGTTGGAGATGCAGTAGTCCATCTCCTGCATCAGTTGCTCTGGTGTCACCTCTGTCTGTGACAAGAAAATCTCACGATAATTTCAAAGGATCTTTGCCAAAAACACATTTTTGAGTTTTTTTGTTCCATGCATACAATTATACCTGTAAGCTTGGTGGTAAGCTTGTATGCTTGGTGGTGGTGCTATTCTCTCTGTCCAGTGTATTTCCATTGGCAGTCCTGTTCTGTTTTCTGTCAATGCCACCATACTTTACTCCCTCAGTAGAGTCAATGAAACATGTTGACTGCTTCTCCCCTGGAGTGCACACACACAAAAAAAACATTCAGCTCATGCCTTCATCTATTTGGTAAATTTGACTTAATGGATAGATAAGACAAAGTTTCCCAACTTCTCATTTTTTCATCCTTGTGTTTTTGTATGGCTGGGGGGTTGAAGGATGTCAGCTTCAGAATGTCCTCCAGAAAAATTTCCTTTACTTCAAACTGCCTTCCTGTGACTAGTGCAAAACAGAAAAGATACAAAATAATGTTTTCACTATTTTGCATTAGCCCAACCTACAGACAGACAAATTTAAAAAGCTACTAGAAGGACTAGGTCACGTGGTTTGCTAAATATTTATTTAATTTTGAGCATTTCATTTACAGTCAGTCTCCTCTACCATGTCAAAGACTTCGGCAGTATTTTACAAAAATAAATAACAGGAAAAAAGTTGAATTAAAGTTTGCAAGCAACAGTGTGCGTATCACAGCAACTGCAAAACATGGCATATCACCTAAAAATAGTAAGCTACCTTCTCTGCATTAGGTTGCTGAGTCCATTTTGAGTATATAACATTATCAGAGTTGGCATATTTCAATGTTTTAGTCTAATAATTGGTTACAACTGCTGATGCACCCGCCCACAACAAGGAGGCCTCCTCAATCATCACGGTATTTATTTTTGCATTTATGCACTGTATTTTGTTTCTGCACTCCTCTTGATCAGGTTTGTTAATAATTTTTTTTTCTCTTAAAGTGAACTTGCCATTTGTGTTTAAAAATATTTTTTCTTAAAGTGAACTTGCCATTTGTGTTTAAGACTAAGTTAATAGTATTTGTGTCTCGGCCGCTATTCAGCTAAAAAATATTGGGACATGACTGCATGCATATCACCAAGCCCTAGTCCTGGGTAAATCTTATTTAATTATTTATGATTTATATTTATTTCATATAAATAAATATTCATAGTAAAAAATATGCTCTACCTAACATAATGAATATCACAATTAATAATCTTAACTTCAAAATAGATACAAATAATCGTGATTATCATTTTGGCCATAATCGTGCAGCCCTACTCTAAAGGATAGAGAATAGTTGTTTTTTTAAAATTGATTTTTAGGATAAAAATGAACAGGATAACACATTTTTTGTCAGTGTTAAAAGTATGTGACCAAAGTTATATCAGACAAACACATTATGACACGCTTGTGCTCTATCCATAAATAAGGCTACCTACCATTAAGAACTTGGCATGTGCCAAAGTACTGACGTAACAGGTCTACATTCACTGCTGCACTGGACAGGATCAGTTTCAGTGTTGGGATCTTCTGAAGCATAGTTCGCATCTTAGTGAGCAGAAAGTCTGTCATATCATCACGGTCATCCACATCATCCTGTATAAACAGAAACAAGTTGGAAACAACAAAATAGAAAGTAAACAAGACAGAAATACAAACATCACATCACAGCAAAAAGTTGAATCTGTATAATGTTGAACTCGTAATGATGCTTACCAGGATGACATGTGTGACAGTTTTCAGGCTGGCATCTCCAGTCATCAGTGTTCTCAGCAAAACCCCATGGGTGCAAAATGTTAGAAGTGTCTTGGGTGAAATTCTGACGTATCAAATTATCAAACCAGGTATAAATTAGTTGGAGGTTACAAAATGTAGGGTCAGCAGTAAAGTCTTAATGTATATATTTAAATCAGGGATTCTGAAAGTATGGTGCAAAGGATAAAAAAATGTGATGGCCGTTTGCAGTGTTTTTCGCAGTGGAATTTTTCCACACAAATACATGCAGGTTATTTAAATCAACATCACAACAATTAGTGACTTTATTTAAGGCTACTAATTAAGTAAGTTGCAGAGCTCTCTAACATACCTGATGAATTCAGTTTGTTTTCAGAAAAAAAAAAAACAAACATTTATCAGCAAGAAAAAAGCTAGTAAAAGCTAATCCAAGCAAGTAATACAAATGTTGCAACTTAAGCTACTCTAGGATCAAACTAGTTTCCTTGATTGTTTTTTAGTGTTTCACCTGTTTTCCAGTCTGATATGATAGCCCACAGTCTGGCCCACAGTCTCTCCCCTCTCTGCTGCCACCCTCTCAGCCACCGAACTAACAGCCAGACGTCTGGGCTGAGAACAGAACATCCTGCAGGTCTCACCTCTGTTAAAGCAGTCGTCCAGGATGAACTGTGGAATCTTTACAAAGCACACAACATTTAAAATCTATCATTTGTCCTGTTCTTTGAACAAGAAACATCTGAAATGTGACTTGGCAGTTAATGTGCCAACCTGTGTAGTTTTCCCAGAGCCGTTCTCTCCAACCACGAGCACCACTTTGTTTGTTTTTATGAGATTGACAATTTCATCCTGATATTTATGGATCGGCAAGGAGCATCGAAAGCTTTCCAGTTCTGACGGACTCCTCTTATTGGGCACCAAGGGAGTACTGTTGTGTAAAAATCCTGTTGGTTTGAATTTTTCCCGGCTGTTGTCTGAGGAAGAGAAGAATACCTTTTCACATCCTTGACTAACCATATAGCATAAGTTTTAACTGGCTACATGCAGTTTATTGCATTGTATAAAGAACAGAATTAGGTCTAAGATAATATAATACAGTGGGGCTTCAAGATAGGAGTTTAATCTGTTCCAGAACAGCATTCGTATGTCGATCCGCTCGTATCTCTAATGCATTTCCCCCATTAAAAACCTATTAATTCGTTCCAGCCCCTCAGCAATATACTATTAATTAATTAAATTACAATCCCCTCATCTAAATATCAAAAACATAAATATAAAAGAGTAAAATAACCCAGCGAGAGACAGTTCAACAGGCACTCGTAACTCGATGTTTCCTCATATCACGGAAAGGAAAATATTGCAAAAGTTTCTTACTCATAACTTGTATTTCGGGTAGCTCGTATCTTGAAGCCCCATTTTATATATAATAACATAATATAATAGTTATAGGGCATTTAACCATAAAAAACACTGTTGCACTGTCATGGTAAATCATTCAGGCCAACAATTAACCAACTGGACTAGACACGTGGCATTCTTCAGAAAAATAACCTTTATATTAAAAGGTAAACCAAACGGTAAACAGAACTCGTAAATTTTACATTTCCTTATTTTGCTTCTCCTTTTACATACAGCAACAACTAAAATGTATCTACAAGATGCTTCAAATCAAACAGTAACTGCTAAATTAGTTGTTTATTGTACAATAATGCACTAAGAAAAGTTTAACTCACCAGTCTGTACAGGTACTGTGCAATTTTCAGGACTAAACTGACCATCAGTATCCTCCCTATATCTGACAGGAAATTTCTCAAGGAGAGAAACAATTAAATGTACAGATTTGTGAGAGACTGTGATTGGAGCAGTGGTCAGTGATTTCCCTTCACTCTGCTTCTTCCAAACAGTAATGAAGCGTTCCAATCCCCTCCTATGTGAATTAAGGAGAAACATCATTCACTGATCATTAATATTAGTTCTTGTTGTACAGAATGGTTTCTATCTTTCATTGCTTTCACGCCCATGGGCAACACAGAAAATGGTAGAACAATGCATAATCACCTAAAGCTGTGGAATGCACAGTACTATACTGATGATTTTCAAAGAAAAAAAAACAACTTACTCTCTACTTCTAGAAATATAACCTAAGGACTGAGCCATTCGATGAATATAGGCCCTCTCAGCACCGCTGAAGCAGGAGGGAAACTCAAGTTCTGTTTGAATGGAAAAAGGAATATTGTACGTAAAGGCATTGATATAGGGAACATTAGGTGACAGGACAAGTTCATGATACCTTTCTGCTCACTGTACTGAAACCTCTCCAAACAAAGCTCCACTGCCATCTTAAACTCTTCTTCCACATGACTGTCATTCAGCTGAGCTGTGTTTGGGCTCATGGCTCAGGGTCCTGGATCTGCAAGAGTGCTCTGAATTATTAGGTACTATTTGTACAACAAAGTATTGGGGCCATGTTGAGGATAACAAAAAAATTAAATACAATTACTAGATCATTAATAATGGTCAGCATTAATAATGAGATCAGTTATTAATTAACAAATGTAGTAAACGTGAACTGTCTTGTGAAGTTACACACTGCTTAATGTTAACCTCAACCATATATATATATATATAATGAAACTCCATGACAAGTGTACTGAAATATAATTATCAAATATGAGTATGACCTGCTATCAAAATGTCAAGCAAAAGTTATTGATACAAATACTCTTTGAATTTTGCAGTGTTTTTAAGATATTTTCTCCATCTTAAATTATTTTTTTAATGTTGTTTAATGTTTAAAATGTATTTTAAGCCTTCAGTAACAAGACAATATTTTCGTACTGCTATGACTTTAAGATTTACAACGTATCAACTTGTAGCCGACTATTCTCATAAATTTACACCTGTATTCTTGTACATCTTTATTTTATTTTCCCTTTAATATTGTGATTTCTGTGTCAATATAAACCACAAGAGTTTATCTCATAAGGTTGCCAATACTATTCGTCCGATTAACCAGTTAGTTATTTTGACGACTTCCCAAAGACTCCAGTACTTCTTTCCCGCTCATCATCATGCTGCATCATCCCGAAGTACAACCGCCATCTTGAAATCTTACTTTCAATTAACGCATTCACTTTTCATACTGCCTTGTCGTTACTTTTAAATATAATTATTGCTTTCTTAGGTTTTCACTTTGTGAAAATTAAGTAACTTAAATCGTCGTGTTTATCGGTTTTCACTTTGTGAAAAAATATTAAGTAACTTAAATCGTCGTGTTTATAACTTTCTTGTAAGAAAGAAGAATTTAAACGTGAACAGTTACGCAGTTACGTTTTCGTCATTTTAACTACACTAAAACGCGCATTTTATATGTAGTAATTCGAACAGTCACATCGAACAGTGAATAAAAAAATACAGAATACTTATCGTGTCCTACCTTTTTAAGAAAATATGATAAATGGAAGCTGAGACTTGGTTAACAGAAAATTACATCAATTAACGAACGGCTGGGAACTTTTTCCTGTACTTGCCAGCACAGTTAAAGCGGCTATCATCATAACTTCCTGTCTTACTCTTTCACAATAAAACTTTACTTGTTTTGCAGTGTAGCTGTCTTTGCTCCACAGCAGGGGTCACCAACCTTTCTCAAACTGATAGTTACTTGCTGTAAAGGGCACTCAGTAATACGAAGAGCTACATGTTTGATACAGATTTTCCGAACAATATAATAATAAAAAAAAAACTTATGCTGCTCAGTGAAGTTCTGGGACATATAGTAGTATTTAATATGAACTATTGTCTCGTAAAATCTCATTATATTTACCGTAGAAAAAAATTAACAAGATAATTAAAAAATATGTTTAATGAGTTGCAACCAGAGGCTTAACAGATATGACTTACAATTTCAGAAAATATATTTTGAGTTGACTTTATTTATTTATTCATTTTAGAATATTGCCATTTTCTTAATGTCATCTGTCAGCTGTAATCCTACGGATAAAAGACTTCCCTAATGATGCACTCAGAAGTTTCTGTTTACCTAGCACACAAGATTTTTTTAAATTATTATTATTACAAAATACCACATACAGATAATGATACAAAAAGATGCTAAACAGTCTTCCCTACCTAATAATTAGAACACATAATAAGGCACACAGACTGTATTTTTATATTCTTATATTGTGCTTCAGTCGGTGTCCATGACCTGAACAGACTCGTCAACCACTTCCAGAGAGAGGGGCGTCACAGTTTTGGTCAAAACAACTGTGGTGCCCTGTTTGTATTGGTATTTCCCCAGCCTAAAAAATAAACAAAATAAATTAAAACTTTACTGACAATAAACAGAAATAATAATAAAAATAATCTGCAATGATACTTGAACAGAAATGTGCAAAAAGATGGCACATTGTCTGGTTTTATTCATTTTTACTCACAAAACATACATTCGGAACAGTTCTAAAAGTTTTTTAGACACTGTATTTGGATACAATCTAATCAATCAAACACATTTACCGTGTACTCAGAAGTTTGTAGTGCAACTGACCTTTGGCCTCGAACTGCAAGCCTATCGTATCCTCGCAGCATCTCCACTCCATTCTTAGTGATGATACATAAGTCTACATTGCTGCCTGAGCCCAAGTCACAGAAAATCCCTGCAGCAATGGCATCTCTCACAAGATGTTTTGCTTCCTCTAGCTAAAAGAAGGTAAGCAAGGGAGGGTTTAGTAGAAGTAGAATAAGTAGAATTTGAGACATAAACCATTTTTTGCAAGCTAATTGGAAAATGGATTGATTTTTGACATCAGACTGTTTAAAGTAGGCACAAACACAACCAAACCAACCTCCATGTTTGCTTTGAATCTGTCCTCAAAAATAGAGACAGCGGCTGCAGCCCCAGAACCTGAGACCAAGAAAAAAAAACATGATTGTTTTACATCATTGTTTCTTTTCTTTTTTTTTTCAAATCTGATTAATTTAAGACATCCATGCACCCATGGTGAGGAAGGGCAGCTTGTCATAGGAGCCATGAGGGTAGATGCTGTAGAGATGAGCTCCTGTCATATCCACTCCGCCAACAATCAGAGATGAACCAATGTGACCCTGGTATCTGAGTGACCACACAAATTATTGTTTACTGTCAGGTGTGTTTAGTGTCACAACAGTCAATGACAAAAGAACTCACAGAGGTTAAACAAACCTGAATAGCATCTGTTTCAGCTGCCGGGTTACCATGGCAACAAGCGGGGGTCGTCCAGTGTTGAGTGTGTGCAGTTCCACGTTGGATGCCATAATCTGTGTGGTGATCTCAGCATCTGCAGCAACACCAGCTCCACAACAGCTGCAGGGCCAGGTGCGGATTAGATTCGATTTCTAAGCATGGCTTTTTTCTGCTATGCAATTTTTTTTTTTGCTGTTTCACATTACAATTTTGAAAGAGCATAGACATAAGAAACCTGAGAGAGGGCTTTAAATAAGACGGATTATTGCGAAAGTGAGTGTAAGGAATAAAAAGAAAGGACTCAAGGCAGACAAACTGCAAGGATACAAAGTAAGACAACAGATGACGACAGCAGTTAAGGACATTGGGGAAGAGGACACAAAATGATAAAACTACTATCAGGTTAATATGACATACTTGAGGACAAACAATGACATAAATTACAAAAAGTTAAGTTGAGGTACAAAATAGGCATTGAATAAGGACCCCGAGTGAGGGCACTACAGACAACTGTCTTCACTGCTTCTACTCACTAGATGTTTGGAGCGATGCAGTGAATCTTCAAGCAGTTTTTGTCGGCCACAACCATGTCATCTGTCGCCCTAGTGTCGGCTCCCAGAATAACTCCGTCCTAAGGAACAGGCAGACACAATGGTCACCAAACATCTGAACACGTTTCCGCAGGCTCACATCGAAATTCACAAAGGTTCACCTTGAAAACAAGCCCAGCGATGGTGGTTCCTGTTTTCCTGGCGTTGGGAGGTTTATAGCCTAACTCAGACATGCTGGATTCCAACACAGCATTCCTAAAAGACATTAAAAGATTTAGAGAACATTCACACACGGTTGGCTTGTTATGTTGTAACCTTGTATGTACGAACTGCTATACTTCCTTGTGAGCACAGTTTAGGTCTGTAAAAAAATAAAACAAGTTGCAGTTTATCCTCACCTGTGACTAAGAAGTTGCAGTTTATCCTCACCTGTGACTGTTTTCAAAACAAAAACCTCCATCCTGAAGGTCGCTGGATTTGTGAAGCATTTTTAGAAAGAAATAAAGACGCTTTGGAAAAAGAAGTTTCTGTGTATGTGTGTCAGCAATTGAAGCAGGTTTCTGCTTTTACTTTCACTTTTATTGCCCAGCCTCCTTGTTGCACACTGTAAAAAATAATAGGAACTGGAATTAACCTGCCATTTTCTCTGCAAAAAGAATAGGATGTATATACTGTATATCCTATTCTTATACACATTTATATAGTATAATTGCATAATAACAATACAATAATAATAATAATAGTATAATTACATAACTTTAGTTCATTGCTTTTTTGTTTACCTTTTAAACAACCTTTTCTCCATTTTGCCATTTTAAGGACTAGGTTTTGGTTAGCTTTTGGCTATTAAAAGCTATTGATTGTCTTTTTGTCTCAAATTAATCTAGCTATTCTTTAACTAACCAATGTTCATGAAACATAGTTGTTATGAAACTTGCAGTTTCTGACTGAAATATATGTTAGGGTATCTTGAATAAGCAGTAGGACAAGAAAAAGAACGCACACAACACATTACGATTACTTAAGTGACAGCTGAAGTAGTCAATAGTAGTACAATTGTAATAGAAAACGGGTAGTTTCAGGGTAGTTTTCAAAATTCCAATATTTTCGAGTGTTTGAATGCAGCATTGGTACTCTGTCCAATCACAAGTCGGAACGGAGTTGCCGTATAGTGTGACTGTGTCAAAGTGTCATTGCATTTGCTTTTAGTCGTTTTGTGAAGGCTATTCTAAACATCACATTAAACCGCAGTAAGTAATGTTTGTTTTTATTATTGTTAGATCTTTACACATCTCCAAACGCACAGGATTCTTTATAACAATGTCCGATTAGCTACCTAGCCGTTAGCAACGTCACCTGATAATAGTCAGACAGTGTGGATCTCATTCATAGTCCTGACCTGTAAACTAAGGCTATTTTTATGTTTATGACAGTGATGCTAACAGTATACTGACGATTATCTCAGTAACAATTAAGCTGGAGATTTTAGAGCGCAATTCATTTTAAGAGGCTCAATAAAACAGGAATTCACATACAAACATGTGAATTATGATATCTACACAAACTTAGATATAATAATGTCAAGAATCTTAATGAAATGATAGCCAAGCGCTACTAAAGGTATCAATTTGTTACTTTATATAACACTGAGTATTTTACTTTAGTTCCAATGTCGGAGCCCAAACTCCTGGTTCTTTATGGGAGTCAGACTGGCACGGCCCAGGACACGGCCCAGAGGATTGGACGACAGGCGAAGAGAAAGAGGATACAGTTCCAGGTGTTGGCTTTGGACAGTTATAATGTGGTAGGTGTACATATACACTACAATTTTACAGCGTCACCTCTGCACAGCTCTGAAAAAAAGAATGTACAATGTACATTTTTAAATATTTGCTCTTTCTCAACAGGCCAACCTGATCTCTGAGTCTCTGGTGGTTTTTGTATGTGCCACCACAGGTCAAGGAGACCCCCCTGATAACATGAGAGTAATAACATTTGCACAACAAAAATGAACAAAAGTGCAGCATGGTGGTCTTTGGTGCACATTATTTCATCAATAACACCTTGTATGTTTTTTGTGAAATTTTCAAAGAACTTCTGGAGGTTTCTCTTCAGGAAATCTCTGCCTGCTGGATCCCTCAGTCGTCTGGACTGTGCTGTGCTGGGCTTGGGAGACTCGTCCTATCCAAAGTGAGTCCCCTTTGACATTACCACAATACTGGTACACAGCATTACGGTCACTGCTTACTCTTCCTGTTAAGTTTTGTGTCAACATGTGGGTTGCGACCACTTGCATGTCACACAGATGTTTCACTAACGTGTACCACCTCAACTATCTTTGACATTCTTTGGTCCATAGGTTTAACTTTGTGGCTAAAAAACTCCACAAACGCCTGCAGCAGCTGGGGGCCGGTTCGCTGCTGCCTGTAGGTCTCGCAGACGACCAGCATGACCTGGGGTAAGAAGCGTTTGGGCAGGGGTCTCAAACATACGGCCCGCGGGCCAATACTTGCTCGCTTGGGGTTTCAATCCAGCCCACTTACTACATTTTGAAAAAATACACAAACACTTAATGTTCAGGAAATGTTTTGTAAAATTGTATTTGATTTAATATAGAAATGTATCAAATGTACTTTTTTGCATCAAAAAGACAATTTATTTTGTTATTTATAGTTAATTATGTTATGATTATTTAAGTTGTATGTGGCTCATGAACTAAAATGAGTTTGACACTCTTGATTTAGGGTCTTTAAGTAGAGTTCTTTTCCTCTTTTTTTTTTAACATTGTGCTTTTGGAAACAGGGCGGATGCTGTGATAGATCCGTGGCTCACGTCTCTGTGGCAGAAGGTATTTGCCTTGTACCCGGCTTTGGCTACTCTCACTCCTCTGAGGGATGATGAACCGTGAGTACACTTAACCCAGTACTTCTCAAATAGTGGGGCGGGACCCCCTGGGGGGAGGGGAGGGGTCATGAGGGTCTTCCAGTGGAATATGGCACGCTGGACATAAGTGTACCACTGCTGTAATGCTGGAATGATAACAAACCTCCAGTCACTAGGGGGCAGCAACTCATACAGTGGTTTGTAGAGATAATAAATATCAGGTTCACAATAGTAAATTCGAAGGGTGTGGGTTGAAGGGGGCGTGAAAACATTTCTGTCCCCAAGGGGGGACATGACAAAAAAATAATTGAGAACCACTGACTTAATCAGACAAGAAGGAAGGAAGGCTTCCCTCCTTTTGTTGCCTTTTCTGTCTGTCCTACTTTTAATTCTCTGTACTTCCAGACTTCCTCCAACCTACACATTCCACTTCCTTGATGACGTGAAAGAGGAGTTGCACGACAGACGAGGGTTCTCTTTAGATCACGCCGTTCCCTCTCAGTCTCTGCCCTTTCCTGCCAAACTGGTGTCCAACGAAAGAGTGACGGAGGCGTCGCACTTTCAGGACGTGAGGCTCATAGAGTTCGACATCAGCGAATCTGGGATTGAGTGAGTCTCATTAAATGGTATTTTTATGTATTCAGAGGGAGAAACAAATGAATCTGCATCAGAATATAAAGAATAAAGATTATAAAATGATAAAATGATTCCCTGTGGAGAGGAGCTGGAGAGAGAGGGAAGGAGGGGTTCCTCTGCTTAAGCTGCTGCCCCTGTGAGCCAACCTCAGAAAAGTGGAAGAAAATTAATGAACTGTTACATATTGATCTGTTGATCTTAGGGGGGCGGTATTGAGCAGATCAATGAAAAAGCCCTGGAACTCCTCAGCGTTTGTTTATTATTATGACGTGTGCCGTTTGTTTAAAGAGCTGCTGTCTGACTCTCCAGTCCAAATGTGCTGACATAGCACTGCCCAGATTTTCCTCGTCATAAATCTGCCGCCCTCTGTTGTTCAGGTTTGGTGCTGGTGACGTGGTGATGATGCATCCCTGTAATTCACCAGAAGACGTTCAACAGTTCTGTCAGCTGCTGAGGTTGGATCCTGAGGCGACGTTCACGCTCAGAGCCACAGAAAATACTGCAGGTCTGTGTGGTCCAGCCACCTTCAATGACCATTTCGGCAATTTCTCGGTTGTGATTGTGGATCGCAGGCTGGGGAACTGTATAGATTGAACTGTATGTATCTAAGTGTAAAAGAAAAACAGTGAATTGACTGTTGACCTTCCACAAAACTTCTTGTCTCCTCAGTTCCCGCCAGGCTTCCGCAACCATGCTCTGTGCGCCACCTGGTGGAGAAGTTCTTGGACATTGCTGCCGTACCTCGACGCTCCTTCTTCGAACTTCTGTCCACCTTTGCCACCAACGAGCTGGAGCGGGACAAACTAGCAGAGTTCAGCTCCGCTGCCGGTCAGTCTGAGCTGCACAGTTACTGCAACCAGCCGCGACGCACAGCCCTGGAGGTGACCGCTGAGAACTGCACCACAGATGAACACAAATACTGTTGATAATCCTGAGCAGGGTGTTTGCATCACCTGCAGCTTTAAGTGCAGTTTTTAATATACAGTGTCCTTGACTTTCGTTGGAATTCTGTACCTACAGCGCTACGTAATTCGATGTTCACTCGAAAGTCGAAACTAACATACTGCACACAAGTACCTACGCTAACAAAGTGGTGACATCATAATTAAGGACATCACAATCCAATACAGCGTTCAACCAACAAATGTAAACAAAGCTGTCTTCTGACAACAATCCAACCATAACAAATGTAAACAAAGCTGTCTTCTGAACAGAGCGCTGCGTGATGACGTATTCGTCTGCTCCACTCGCAAACTACTTAGAACATTGTTTCCCAAAGACTGGGGCGCGACCCTCAGGTGGGTCGCAAGAGGGGTTTTTTTTTGGGTCGTCTCGCATCATGTTTCCCAGGAGTTTACGAATAATGTGTTGACTTGGGTCACGAAGGTTTGGGACCCCAAGAAAAAAAGGCATAAGCTGTTATTAAAAGCGAAGGTTTGGGTCCCCAGGAAAAAAAGGCATAAGCTGTTATTAAAAAAAATCCACAGAACTTCTTTCTGACATCTTCATGTTGTTAAAGGTTTTGGCAGAGTTTCCTCACACAACCGCAGAGCTCAAAGTGGACCATCTCCTGGACCTCTTCCCTGAGATCCAGCCTCGTTCCTTCTCCATCGCCTCCTCTCTTAAGGTAAATCATCAGTTTTCGTACATTTAAGTCTCTTTTTTTTTTCTGCCACTGCCCTACATCCTGTGCTTTTCTTATCGACTGCTGTTTCTGCTTGAACCTAACACTGCATTAAAAACAAATAAGAATAATTTTGAATGTTTCTCTTCGATCCTCAAATCTCATTTCAGGCTCATCCAGGCAGGCTCCAGATCCTCGTGGCCGTCGTTCAGTACAAAACCAAGTTGTATAAACCTCGGCGCGGTCTCTGCTCTTCGTGGTTGGCCTCTCTGGACCCGCACAAAGGTTTTCACCCGCAACACACTTGACGGAGAGATTCGCTTGTTAAAATATATCTCGTTAGAAATGTTTCCACACAACAACTGTCAATCCCCATGGTGGCGCTGCAGGTGAAGTGTCTGTACCCCTGTGGGTGAAGAAAGGAAGTCTGAGGTTTCCCACAGACCAGAACACGCCGGTGATCATGGTTGGACCTGGCACTGGTGTAGCCCCGTTCAGGTCAGCGTTGCAGGAGAGGAGGTCGGAGGGAAAAACAGGTGACGTCCTGAACTTTTAGGTCTTGTTTTTGGTCCTGGTCAGGTGATGTCATGTGACTCTCTGTCTCATCCTCCTACTTTTTTTCCACCCGACTCTTTAGACCACGTCCTGTTTTTCGGCTGCCGCTTCGAATCCAAAGACTTTTACTTCAGGTCAGAGTGGGAGGAGATGATGGAGAGAGGACAACTGAAACTCTTCACTGCCTTTTCACGTGATCAGGTAGAACACACACACACTACAGTAAAACTAGGGGTATCCAATACTAACTTTTTGCCCATATCCGACATGTCAATATTGTCCAAAAACTTAATTTCATTAAGACGGTGGATTAAAGGCAGAGGACACGTTGTGTGCAGTGATACTAATTCATTTCCACTTTCATATACGCCATCATCTGGCGAAACCCAGGCATTGCGTTATCGGGTTTTCATTATCGGAGGAAAAAACAAATAAAGATTCTCACAGATAATGATTATGCTAATATTGAGCACACAATATCTGGACAATATTGGCTGATATGATCGAAGATCCTTATGTAAATACATACATACCACATGTGTATATATATTTGTGCATGTATATGTGTAAATGTTTATATTTACACAAATACATGCACAAATATATACATACCGCATGTGTGTATATATGTATATATAAATCATCAGGTGTGTATACATATATACTATATGTTGGTGAACATACATATGTATATGTATATAAAAATAGATATATATAAATTTTTTTTTTTTTTTAAATTGTTTGCATATATAAAATATATTTAAAAAATAAAATTGTTTGGTATGATTTAGGGGCAAATACACATACAGCTACAGCGCTAATATAGAGTACATTCCAGTGACAATGGTCCAAACTGGAAAAAATGATAACCCTCGAGTAACATTTAAACAAATACTAATCTCCTTCAGTGTTAAATGTTATTATTGTTAGGTTATTTCCTGCTGGTCAGTGACTTCACTGCTGACCCAACAATATTTTCACAGGACAAGGTTTACGTACAGCATCGCGTGAAGGAGAACTCGGAGCTCCTGTGGGACCTGATCGCCAACAAACACGCCTGCTTTTACATTGCTGGGTAGGTTGGCTGTCACACACTGATGTAATAATTCACCTGGTGTAAAAGTATGAGTGGAGCTGCGATAAAAGCTCACCTCAGAATCAGATCTGTCTGCTGATTATACGATTTCTGTCTCCACGAAGCAATGCTAAACAAATGCCGACCAGCGTGTGCGACGCTCTGAAAGACGCGTTCCAGCAGAAGGGGTGCATGTCTGCAGGAGAGGCCGAGCAGATGTTGACAGCCATGGAGAAGTCAGGACGACTGCAGAGTGAAACCTGGTCTTGATCATGTGACCACGGTTCTTATGCAGTGACTGAGAAGTTTCAGGTTGCAAAAAGAAAAGAGAGAAAAAGAAAAAATCTATAATTAAATAATTTATTTAATTTCTTTTTTCATCTGCCTATTAGTTTTAAACGCACTGGAGGAAAAAGTTCGAGTATCGTAAATCTGTAAAATCCACACAAACTCAATCGATCGTGAACATTTTCGCACTTGTTTTTTCCCGTGGGAAGATGCTGCAGACATTTCACTGCCTGGACGATGTGTACGGATGAACTCTGTGCTGTACAGGTCCATGTCGTGCCCAGTGGAAAACTAAACATCATGTATACACACATCATGTATGGAGGAGCTGTAAACATTTAAAAAGTTGACACTTGTAAAAACGACCAAATGTGCCATGAAATGACTGAAATCAGTTTCACTTTCTGTCTGGTCTTCGATATGAGTTTTTAGAAACGTCGTGTGCTTGGTACTAAAGGAATAGTTCAGGATTTTGATATGATGTTGTAACACTTGTATCATCGGTGCACAACACACACAAACACACAGGCTGTGTAGTGTGAAGTTAAATTTCTCATTTTCTCTGAGGACCTTTTGAGGGAGGCGGCCATTTTGTATATAATACACTGTGTTTCAGAAATACCTGAACTGTCGCTTTAAGGTCTTTAACCAAACAAGATCTCTGTCCTAATTGTCATGGGTTTGTCTTTGACATAGGCAGAGGTCATGTGACACATCACACACAAACACCCACCCACAGGTAACTGACTGTGGGTGTGTTTGAGAAATTAAAAAAATAAAATAAAAGGAAAATGCCATTTTCACATTAGAAACATGGTGAAGAAAAGGAGAAGCCACTTCCGGTCACATGAGCTGCTGCTTCCTCTATCTGAGCGCCAGTGTGTGGACCTGGTAAATCTCCTTAGGGAAGTCCACTTGCTGCTCCTCGTGGATTATGCGAAGGCCCGCCGTGGCCACCAGACTACGAACTATTGCCAGGTCTCGACACACGCTGCTGTCCACCTCGTCGGGGACCACGCCCTCATACGACACGTTGTCCTTGATGATAATGAGGCCGTTGGGCTTTATGGCTTTCTGACAACGCCGCAGGAACTCAACTAGGTGGCTGTCTGTCAGGTGACCTAAAAGAAGAAGAAAACCTCAGAACCTTGGTGATGTTTTAGGACAGCGCGCACCCACTTCTAACCTGGATGAAACCCCCAATTTCCTACATTGGAAAAAAACCCAGCTTTCTTATAAAGGCATGTTTAATCATGATACATATGATGTGTATATATATATATGTACATATATACTGTATGTGTATATATATGTGTACATATGTGTGTATATGTACACGTGTATATATGTATATATATGTAGATATATATACATACGTATATATGTACATATATGTATGTATATATACACACATACTGTATATTTATATTATATATTTATAATATATAATATATATTATATATAATGTTTGGTGTGAGATATATATATAAATGTATATAAAACAAAATATACTGTATATATCCTGCATTTATCTATTAATTAAAATTTCCACTTTTGATTTTAATTTATACAAAGAAAATGTTTATTTAAATGTCTCTACTGTGTAGAAAAATTACACTTAAAAATAACCCAAAACATTTATCTCGTGCACCAAACTTTTGGAATTCCTGATTTAGACCACAGACCTACCGATGACCCACTGGATCCAGATGACGTCGTATCGTCCAGCCTCTGGAACAAAGTCCTGCAGGCCACTGCAGAAGTAGTGACCCACCCTTTTGGCCTCCTCTCCCAGGTAGGACTTGGCTTTGTCCAGGAACTCCTGAGTCACGTCTACCAAGTCCACGGTGGTGAACAGCGGCAGAAGAAGACGTTTGGTGATCCTCCCAATGCCGGCGCCACAGTCCAGGGCACAGCTCGTGCCTGTCTTACCCTCACCCTCCTGCAGGGACAAACCCAAGACGACAACAGGGATGACTAACAGCTACTTTAACACTACAGGTCTCCATCACCTGTCTGTCATTCTTGTTTCATCCGTTGATAACATTTGAAGCAGGGGTGTGAGCATTCATAATGAGGTCACAAATATGTATCTGATTTAGGATCAGGTATGAAAGCAGCCCGGGTCTGATTTTTAAAAAGTTGTCAACGAGCTGTTCAGACAGTCTCATCACATGGTGCTTTCCACATCGGCTGGAAGGAGTGGAGCGTTTTTTTAAAACTCCATGAAGCTTTATTATCATATCACCCCCAAATGCACATGTGTACGATTGGATTCACTTACACCCAGGAATTTCTTCAGGAATGTTTTCGATCCATTGATGTCAATGCTGGAGATGGAGCCGTAGCCTCCCAGCATTCCATCCACCGTGGCAGGAATCTCCCTCCAGTAGTCCTCAGCATTGGAGTAGAAGTTAGTTTCGTCATGTTTTATGTCCCCCATCCTGTAAGTCCAGAGAATGGGAAAATCAAATACAAATAAAATAACACTTTCTAAGAATTAAGAATGAAGTAGCAAGTATTCCATATTGGAGTAAACCCATGAAGGCATCTAAAAACAGGATATATTATCAAACCACACTGATGCAGTACTTGAATGCAACACATATACACAAATAAAACAGGGAGGGGAGGAAGAGAGATCAAGTGGCAGTCATATCTACATATGTGGCCTGGTTGGCAGCAGGTCAGCTGTCAGTGACCATTTAAGGACACACACACATATACACACACACACACACACACACACACATTGTAATCCAACTGAACGAATTATTAGGACCTGCTATTCCGTTTCACTCAAACCTAACTTAGTTTAAACACTGTCCTACAACATTTATTACATTTGTGCAATTAACTTGCATTAAAGTAACGAATGACACTCGGATCACGTGGTGTCTACTATAAACGTATACAGTAGTACTACAATATCAGAAAGTCAGCTGTAGCGAAACATCATAGCTCGTTGTTTTTATTGTGAGAAATTGAGCTCGAATGGAGGCTGTCGCTAAAACAGTTTGTTCTGAATGCGACTTCACAAATCACGAATCTGCTCACACAAATTTAAAAATAACTCGAGAGTTTGTAGAAAACCGCATTAACTTGGTGACAACGAGGCACCACACGTGTATTTGTAGCCGGTTAGTTAGCATGGTAGCAGCAGAGCAGCTGCACTTTCTCGCAGAATTTTTAAATTTACGTACGTGACTTTTAATAACGTTTGGATAGACACTGACCTGCTCTCCAACGTGTCACCTCCACTCCCTCCTCCTGAGTCTCATCACCCGGTGTGTGTCTCTGCTCTCCGAGAGCCTCGGTGTTCCCATTACAGACACACACTACGTCATATCCTTATTTGGATCAAAGGAAAAACGGTTATAACACCTCCCTCTGCTGGAGAGTCCATGTCACATCTCTGGTGGTCACAAATAAAATGGTTTTAAAGACACATTTTCTAAAGGTTATTTTACAGAAAACGCGGTAAATAATGGAAGTATGGTAATGTATTGTTGTTCTAAATAAAACACTGACATCGAAATAGAAACGTTTTAAGTAAATAGAAAAACAGTAACTGAACCAGACCTACGTAAACTTGTTTGTGCCTTTACCTTAAAATGTTGAGGTTTTATTGTTGATGAACGTACTGTGTATAATACATCAGGATGTACACTGTACACTGTTTTGCAGGGCAGTCAAACATACGGGCCGCAGGCGCAAAACCGGTCCCTTAGGGTGTTCAGTCTGGCCTGCTGGAGGAATTCTGAAAATAAAAAGATACAAACACTTAATGTTCAGAATATCTTGGACGTATGTTATGATTGTACTGGTTCCACCCAATTGACATCTAACTAGGTTGTATGCGGCGACCCCTGGTTTACAGTGTATATCTGGGTGGAAGTATTTACGAGGAGGAAAAAGACAACAGGCACTAAAGTACCTGAAAGAATATTTAAAACTAAAAGAAAAAACAAAGTACGGTGGTGGGATGAGCGGAGTTATCTTAGCATGTCAGACTACATATGTAACAATTAAAAAGGGATCAAAAGGAATTGTGTAATTTAAGAGTTGTAAAGAATGAGGGGGCTAGGGTAGGATACACATGGTACATATATAAAAATCACTTTGTGTTTTAAACAGTTAATGTCACGGAAACAAAATTCAGACAAAAGTCAGCACACGGTTTATTGCAGTTCAGTAAAGTAACCATAGGATGGCAGTGTGGTATAAGACTCCTGTTCACGGTTGGCGCACGAAAACAACAGCGTCATGATAAATAACAGAAAAATGTGTTTACCATTTTATTTTAAATCCTTTAAAATACGTTGTGGAATTGATTTTAAAAATGACGTGTGTTTTAATCATGATTACATATCAAATACATAAACTAAATGATGAAATCCAGACGATTACATATCAAATATTATACATAAACTAAATGATGAAATCCAGAAAATCTGAAAAAAATGGTAAAATGTTTGACATAATTACGTACGACAACTGACCTTTTTGTCTTAACCTTGCCCATAAATAATATTTTTCAGCCTTGTAAACATCTTTAAACTCTATTTCTGTTGTAGACGTGATGGGCGGCTGTTGTTACCGTTGGTCACCAGTGGGGGGAGCTTTGGTGCAGCACAAACTTTTGCAGCGCCAGTTCATTTGGAGGTCTTCTTCGTTGTGGTGTTGTATTTATAGTTTGTTTGGTCATTTTTTTTATGTTTGTAAACTGCTTATTTTGCCACACCAAACTCCACGAAGAAGTTGAGTGTTTCAGCTAGCGGACTCAAACGCTGCTGTTGTGCTGCTCTCATGTTTTGTCAGTTTGTGTCAATGACGTAAGGCTAAGGCTAAGGGATTTTCAACCAACAAAATGGTTCCACTTAAAACAGATTTTTACTTCTACACGAAAAGGACACCAATATCAGGAAGTACAGTGACCGTTACGTTTGTCCAGTTTTTACTGTGACTCTTGAATTCAACAACTAAGTCAACGCGGCTGTGAAACAGCTCCAGTGGTTTACGCCCACAACAGTGGCTTTGAAAAGTACTGTGATCATCCAGTTTGTTTGTGTCTCCCACCTCACCCATTTACCTCCCCACCTCACAAGGGGGCAAGGTGCGCTGTCTCGGACTGAAGCACAATCAACAAGAAAGGTATGGAACACAGTGGAGGAGTGGTTTGTGCTCTTGCCTTACGAATCGATCCTCAATACCCACTGATGGTCTTTCTGTTCTGAGTCCTGTGGGCGGGGTGGGGCGAGGGGGTGGGGTGCTCTGTTTTCCACACACCCATCAAAACTATGCAGGAGTGGGTTCGTTGTTCACTCCAAACTGATGATAGTTGAGTGTGAATGGTTGTTAGTGTAAAAAGTGACCCCGCGGTGGACCGGAGAACTGTTACCCCACCCTCATACGATGGATCTTGGGATTGGTTTGGTTCAAAAGACACTTGTTTTTTGTTGTTGTTTTTTTTTAACCAATCAACTGCAGTCTACGTAGCTGGAGTTAGCTCCCAAATCACTTAGTGTTTGTTTCTTCCAAAGTAGGAAGACTTCGATCAGTAATTGTGATTTAAAAACCATTAAAAATACTGTTATTTATGAACTATTTAAACATAAAGTTAAACTGAACCACACTTTCTGTTGATGCTGATTTTAAGATGGATTTGATTCCAACAGAAGGCTAACAGGCAGCCACTGCACCACTGCACCACCCCCTGGTGGTTTACTAAAGTAAGCCGTAGCAGATAAGCCACACCCATGTCATGATTGACAGCTGACAGAGACTGGGGATTTGTCAGAAGTTTGTGTGGGCAAGACTTAATACTGGAATCTTCCACTCCATCACTGCTGATCTGTCTCCAAATGAGGACATGAGGACAAAGACTCGCAGGGACATGTCAGAGGCAGTAGGAGAGACAGAGACAAGAAAAGAGACAAAATTGACACCAGAACTACACATCAGCAGCCGCTAAGATGAACTTGTGTCTCAAGGGTCTCATGTCAGTCCTACTACAGCAGAGACACAAGGAGGGACGGACGGAAACAAACAACAAACAAAACAGATACACGGAGACAGACAAAGACTCGTTCATACACAAAGAAAGACACGCGGAGACAGACGTGTAGAAAGTGGGCCGGAGGACAGTCTGAGACAGACAAACAAAGAGACAGAGAGACCGAGAGGGGAGAGAATACTTGAAGGACAAAGACGTGCACACAAAGACAGACACAAACGCACAGAGACGGACGAGAGGGACACTGGCATAAAGATGGGGAAGCACGGACAAAAAATGGACAGGAGGACACAGACAATGACGGTCGCACGGAGGCAAACAGAGGGGCAGACGGCGAGGCAAGAGGACAGATGGACACAACAGAGACAGAAGGAGACAACAGACAGAGACAGAGAGAGAGGGAGAGAGAGGGAGAGGGAGAGGGGGAGAGTCAGGGAGACATACTGAGACACAGATCTATTCAAACTTGTCTTTATTGGGAAACCGTCTTCACTGAGCTCAGCACTGAAATTAGATATTGATCCTTCCTCCTCCCCCTCCTCCTCCCCCACCTCTTCCTCCAGCCTCCCTCCTCTCTTGCCACCTCCCCCTCTCTCTGCTACTGGAAGAACATGTTCTCTCCTCTCTGCTGAGCCGCACTACCACTGAATACCTCCTTTCTACCCCCTCCTTCTCCTTCTCTCCTTCTTCTCCTTCTCCTTCTTCTTCTTCTTCTTCCCCTTCTTCTCCTTCTTCTTCTTCTTCTCCTTCTCCTTCTTCTTCTTCTTCTCCTTCTCCTTCTTCTTCTTCTTCTCCTTCTCCTTCTTCTTCTTCTTCTTCCCCTTCTTCTCCTTCTTCTTCTTCTTCTCCTTCTTCTTTTTCTTCTTCTTCTTCTTCTCCTCCTTCTTCTCCTTCTTCTTCTTCTTCTTCTCCTTCTTCTTTTTCTTCTTCTTCTTCTTCTCCTCCTTCTTCTCCTTCTTCTTCTTCTTCTCCTTCTTCTTTTTCTTCTTCTTCTTCTTCTCCTCCTTCTTCTCCTTCTTCTTCTTCTTCTTCTTCTTCTTCTCCTCCTTCTTCTCCTTCTTCTTCTTCTTCTCCTTCTTCTTCTTCTTCTTCTCCTTCTCCTCCTCTTTTTCTAACAGTTATCTCTCCTAAGTGCGGCTCTTCTCTAAAGGACCAGTGTGATTTCTGAGGTGTCAGCTGAGACATGTTCTCTGGCAGCATAAAGAGTTTCTTTCAAATCTACTTCTATGTTGTTGCTTTCATTTGAAAGACTGGACATGAGGCTTTTACTTTTCACTACATCACTTCAAAAAAAAAAAAACTTCTCACATGATGCTAATGATCACAATTTGCTAGTTTTGTCAGACTTGTAAATTCAGGTTAACACATGATACAAGTCTCATTTTTAAGCCACACATGCGGTTGTGGGTGCAGTACCACTTTCCGCCAGCAGAGTCTGACACCAAAATTCTTGAGCTTCCATGGCATGTTTTTTTTTTAATTGGCAAGTTTTCGCAAAAAAAGAAATATGAAAACAGACAGCATCCTGATCAGCAAACATCAGGTTTGGTCTTGGTCCAAAAAAAACACAGAGTAGCTCTAGTGCCCCATGTGGTGATGCACTGGGGTTGCAATTTGTAACTTGGTCAAAGTTGCATTGTTTTCTTGTTTACACATACATATAAATAAGCATCCGCACACGCAAAAACACACATGGTCTCCTGACACACACATGCGCATGCTCAGACACACACACACGGACGCACAAATTGACAGAATGTTGAAGAGCAGAATTCTGCACAAATTAGTCGGGGGAAAAAAAAAATCAGCTCTCGTCTTTCCACCTCCTCTCTCCTAGTCTCCTCTTCTCTCCTTTCCTCCTCTGCCTCCTCCCTCGGGCTCACCTTCACTCATCACCTCAGCTATTTTCCCTTCACTGTTGCCTGGCAACAGACAGGAACAGCATCACACGGAGACGTCAAAACCACAGGAAGAACTTGCAGAGCGAACCATCGGGTAGATGTGCTCTTAAGGAAGCTGCATTACACTCTGTTACTTCTCTGTTACTTTTCTGATACTTGATTCATTACCATCCGTTATATTATGTGTAGAATTAGCATTTTTACTTGATTTGCAGCGCTAGTAGAAACAATGGACGGAATAATACTTGTAAAATGTCCAAACATGAACTTAAATAA